AAAGCTGTACCCACCGCCTTCCATCTCGAAGTATCCGACAGTAGAAACGATGGCATCGGCTGGAACAAAGATATGATTCGTTGACTCCATGCTGTCGAGGTGGAAGGTAGCGCACTCGTTGCATGGGCGGTATCCTGAACTGTCATCTCCATATCTGATGTTGATCTTTGGAATCACACAGTATGCCCAGTTTGTTGTTTCTCCATCAAAGGAGTGGCTGATGAAATATTGGACTTGATAGAAGCGGACAGAAGAATATGGGTGATTGCTTGCTGATGCATCGGGCATATTGGTCCAAACCTGTAGATTCAGAATGCATTAGCTCATATGAGGCTTCGCTATCGCGCGCTGCCGAATGCCTTACCTTCACAACAGAGTTCATCCGATGATGTGCCGTGCTCATCCGATGTGATTGAGATATGACATGTAGTTCCCCCGCGTCCATCTTGGTGTGTTTGGAGCAAGTGTCCGAATTCTGATCCCAAAGTGAATGGACATATTGCAAGGCTTCACGATAGCCGTATGAGGAATTGGCAGAAATCGTCCTGGCATAAGCGCTCTTTAGCTTCGCGACTTGTTCAGAAGGTAGTTTCAGCTTTTGTTGCTGGCCAGACAAGGTTCCGCGGCTATCTTGATTCGAGGCCCGCCCATTGTTTGCAAAGGAGGATGGCCATATCCCAGGGTCTTCGCCCAACCTGGATGTTCCTCTCAAGGTCAAGTTCGGAGCAATGCTTGGACCGCTCAGAGAGCTTTGGAGGACGAGCCGATTGGCCATATTGTCCACTGGATGGACCTTCGATCGCCCGATGAGCTTCAGGCGACCACAGGTTCTTTCCATTTCAAACTGCCATTGATATACCAAGGGTCCAAACAATCGGATGCACCTAGGCAAGTGTTGGAGCTGATGCACGTAGGTTTTCATCAAACGAAGTCCAGACAGGTCTGGAGCTCTGTCTGGAGGAGGTTCGAGTGACTCTGGGAGATTTGCGATTGACCTGGTGAATACATTTCGAGTATACGTGGTTAGATATTGAGAATTAGTGAGCTGCCCAACATCCTCAAGTGAAGGGACTGCTGTCTCGTGCTACTTGCTCTGTGTAGTACTCCTGGAACCTCTGAAGATTTCTCTCGATCTGATTGCATTGAGCAACATTCAACTGGGGAAGCAGCATCAATCGAAGGGCATAGACAAAGCGCCTCCATCCCAATCTAGGCACAATAGCATCACTGTTAGGATCAATTCGAATCAAGTATCTCATCGACCGTAGGACGGGCCCCGGTTCGAGCAGGGTACAATATCAAGAGCTTACAAGTGTTCTAGTGGAAAGCCCGCCGCATTGAGCAGAGGTAGGGAGTACATGATAATCCAATTCTTCCATTCTTCGGTTTTGAAGCTTTTGTATGAGACAGGGTCCCGACAAGAGGCACCAAAGCCTGTTGGAATCTGAATCCTGCCTTCGCTGATCCATCTTCCGATCTTTTTCAGGCACTTGGACGTGATCTTTTGGTCCAAACTTGAGGATGAGGGAGCCTTCCGCGTTCCATTCCAAATCTCCATCATGAGTGGACCGATGTTCGAGATCACATGCATCAGATCGAGAGGAAGACAGAAGCTGAGCTCGATGGACTCAAGTTGAGTTACACCTGGTCGCCCCACGATCCCTGATCAACATAGTTAATGTTAACATCGGAGTCGAAAACAACGCCCTGACTCGTCTCGTTAACGTACCGTTTCGGGGCATGCCGTCTTGATCGATGGCCTCCCATATTCTGTTCAGACTCTCTTCGGTGCGGTATGGACTGGGAGTGTCACGTTCATAGAAGCACATGGCACCCCCGGCCCTCGTGGCCGTTATTTCGCAGAGACGACAGCCCTTCGTGGCGGTGTGCCCAGAAAATTTACCGAATTTGTTGGATCCGGGCATGTCACTCTGGCAGTACAGCAAGTGACCTCGGAGAGTGAAAGAATGTTCCACGCCATTTTTGTCGACCCTTATCGCCTCAACACCTGGGAGCGAGAGACATTGCTCCGTCAGCAGCGTGCTCTCGCGAGGATTATGTGGAGTGACCAAGTGATCCACACCAGAGGGGCTTACGCACCGGTCTCAAGTCTCTTCATATCTTCGAAAAACGGCTTCAAAAATGTATCAAAGTCACGAGGCGATCGTGGACCAGGCGTAAGCAAGACCGTAATGAGATTTTCCTTTTTGTAGCGCAGAGCAGGTGGAAGATTGAAGTTGATCAAGATGAAGCCCCACGATTGATGGCTTTGCCTACACCAGATACAAAGGTCAGCTGTGGTTATAATCTGATTTTGAAACAGAGAGCGGGCGTACCTCTGATTGATATTGAAGCCATCAAAATGCAGCCCGAGAGCAACGTCGGTGGGCTGCTGGAACATTGAGCGACTACAAAGGTGCTGGTAATATTCGGCATCGAAAATGTCGCTCATGACGCCTGAAGATTCAGATTTGGTGAGTTCAGAGCACCATATAGCAATATAGTATTGGGAAATAATACGGGTGGAAAGTACCTGGTTCGCTCGCTCTGTTTGCTCTGTACATCATCAACTCTGCCATAGTTGGATTTCGGTAGAGTGTCTGAAGTATCTGAACAAAATCGAAATACTTGTAGGTCTGAATCGGCCTCAGTTGTGGTTGAATGCCGCCATTCAGAAGTTTTTCGTTCACCGTCGCATAAGCATCCTCTCCACAAAACGTGCATATTCGACTCTGGTTATCATTGATGTCGAATCCCATGCAGCTGTTTGGGCAGCAGGGAAGCCTCTGAAGATACTCGTTCCACTCGCAACAAATGATCTTTTGGATCTTGTACAGACTGGGTGCAGCTGGTAATGACAATCCTTGGAATTTGTTGCAATGATTAAGGACAGATTTGATGGCTTTGTCGGTAACATTGCACTCGGTCAACACCTTGACCAGCTGCGAATAGAAGGGCGGGATATCTGGGGGAAAGCCGCGGGTGAATACATCAATTCGGATGCTACATCGGATTGCTATCTGTCCTTTGAATTTGACTCACCATCTGATATGCGGGGCTCTTCGTCACCAGTTTCTTCATCATCTTCATTCATTTCAAGCAGTCGAAAGTGGCCGAGGAAGCTATCCGGATACTGTCCTGGAAGGTGAACCGTGGCATTTATATGAGTCAACCGGACTCTGAAGCAAGACCAGGAAGATTCGACGATACGATCAGGCTGGGTGACGTTGATATCTCACCCGAAATGTCATCGAATTCTCTCGGTGAGCTTGAAGTGGTGTCTTCTGAGTCTATCGAAGAGTCTTCAGAGTCTTCGTAGTACATGGACGCTTCTTCAGAGTCCCGCGATGCCCACATGCTTGGCGACCACGAAGGGCAGCGTTCAAATTGAGCTGGAGCAGGGCCTTCGTTGTCTTGGGTGCATTGCTGAATAGATGCTCCTGTTTGGATATCCATGCTCTCGTGCTCAAATGCGCGGGGTGAGCCTTTGGGCCAGGCCAAGGATGAAGAAACAAAGTCGGACAAATCGAGAGTGTATTGGTCATTTCGTAGTGAGCTCTGGCAGCGTCCAAGCACAGATCACTGATTATTGCTCAAGACTGAAACCGTGACGCACACAAAAATTTAGCGAGAATGTGATATCAGGTGCTCAGTCTTACCCAATGAAGGTCGCTGCGATGTTATCCCATGTGGTCGCAGTTCATCTACCACCAACACTGGGGGATGAAATGTCGGCGAAGTTCGCAAATTGGGGTTATTTTCGCATATGCTTGTAATAGGACGGTGAGGGAACGAAGAAAGATGGCCAGCTGTGTTTTCTTGAGGATCTTTGAGCGAGTACATGTGAACAGGGGGGACTCCAGGTGGAAAGCCATAGCGATAGAAGTGGTCGTAGTAGGTCGTTCTGGAGACAATCCTGAAGCCTTGCGAATCGGTGCTACACTTGCGACAACGACAGATGGATCTGTTCTTGGGAAGCCCATCGTGAGCCCTATTTATCGAGGATGGTACCCTGGTCGATGATATTGGATATGGAGTATGCCTTGGGTGATCGTGCCCAGATGGTTGAGCGGCTGAACTCATGATTAGAGTCGGATGAGAAGGTCGAGGGGAGAAAGGATCAAGAGGAGATTGACGAAGCAACTGGGGGCGGAAATGCCCGGTTTTTGTCCAAGTCCGAAGGCTCTGATGACCCATGAACACAGATGAGTCAGGAAAGCAGCCGGGGGTCATGGACAGTGAACGAGTCGCGGAAGACAGTGAAAAGCCGGGATGACTCGGATGCCATGTCACGTGAACGGAAGCAGCCCATTGGCCGAGGGCTCCACGGGATGTGGCAGTGCGGGTTCGGGGACACCCAGGGAGCCAGCAACCTGGACGAACAAGGAGAAATGCGGGTGACCCGAGCCCGTCGCGGTCGCTTCAGTGGCCAGACGCGACCCCCAAGGCAAAACAAAACGCGAGAAGACGTGTTTTTCCTTGTTATGCTGAGTCCGGTGGGGGATTTGCGAGGGAAGTATTGGCCAACGCGTAATTTACACGTCAGCTTTTTTTTCATAGTGATGTCGTCCATGTGCTGTGCAAGCGTCTGCATTTGCGACATCCCGGCCATCCGGGCCAATGTCTTTGGGAGTCATTTGGCTGTGTCTGAGACAGACCGAGCGATGCATTCAGCGACATCTGTCCAGAGACGCTAACCACAGCTGCCTCTTGCCAGACCCGGCCCTTCGTTCGACCAGGCTGCCCGGCCCGAACCCGTCGTCTTTCCAGCCAGGCCGTGCTCTGCGCCAATCGGCATGCGTTCTCTCTCGCAGGAATCGCATCGGCCCGCCTGGCGCACGAAGCCCATCCGAGCGACCCTTGCCTGTCTGCCACCGCCACTGCGTGCCGCGCCCGCATTGGCTGGTCGTCTGGGGCCTCGCCGTCGGCAGTCCCGGCTTCCGTTCCCACTCCCGGCCTTCTTGACGCAACGAAAGAAGGAAAAAAAAAAGTATGGTCAGCCCCACTCGATCGGCGATGGTCTGGTTCGCCCGTGCAGCAAGCTGTATTCCGTTCGTCAATGACACCATCTCTCGAAAGCGGCTCGTGGCTCAAAGACCATCGACTTTGGAGGCAACCGCACCCCGAATTGCGCTATTGGGCGAAACTATCGGGCAAAGCCATCAGGGATGCTGACACACGGAAGCGGTTGTCCCGAATGCATCGGCCTTCTTGTGCCCGAATGGGCAGTAGCCAGAGATTTACGCAGAGAAGCAGCTGGGCTCTGCCTCCCCCCTTTCAAATCCTCGCTCTGTTGTTGACTCGGCCGGGCGCTGTGCCCTCTGGCCTTCGCCAGGCATCGCCGCATGTCATTGATCATCCGCGGCCGAGAAGCGCACGGACGGCTGGCGGCGTGTGGGCAGCTTGCTTGCCATCGGCGTCATTGACACCTGCCGCGACGATGCAGCCCCAGGCGTCTCCATCACCGCATCAAACATGCGCGTGTCGCTGGGCTCGTTGCCGATGCCTTCGTATCCGGATGTGCGCTGCCGGATGCTCGTTGGCGTTGGAAGTGGTGATGGTGCTGGCGATGGACATGGCTCTCCAATCATGCCACCGTCGTGCTCGCTTCCTTCCGGGGCCATGGTTGCGGCGTGGGCGCTGGCGTTGGCACGGTATTCCTTGATCAGCGTACTTGGGCTCCGTGTGAGCGACCACTGGACAGGGAATCTGTCAGGCGGTCACAGGCGGTCGCAAGTGATCACAGGCGGTCGAACAGACATCACATCAAACCGATACGGCGCGTCAGCAGTGTTTCACTCGGCCCCGTGGTGCACAATCCGAGTCCATCCGAGTCGATCTCGGTCACTAGACAGCCATCTGTGCCGCTGTGTCGCCTGGATGCTTCCTGTGCCTTGTCCGGGCCGGAATTCCGGCTCTGTTGCTGTCCTCGTCACCCCAGGGATAATTCGGCTTTTGGCGACTCACCGGATCGGTCTCTTGCGCGGAGTCTTGCCCGTCGGAGTGTCAATGGCAATCACCTGGCACGCAATCTTTTGCTGCATCTGGTCGATTGTAGAGTCGATCTGATCGAACAGATCCTCGGATGCGGAACCGGTGAACTCTTCGGTCTGTCAAGCGTCGCACACCAAGGGATTGTGAGGATATCGCCTTGGCTTGGAAGCCGATCCACCACCATCACCACTGCCGTCAAGTTTTATCGCGCCTTTGCTTGCCACCGATCTGTCTGCTCGTGACTCATCCTGCTCTTCCAGACGCAACCCCTACATACCTCCTGTGCCCATGCACTCAAGTGCGCCAAGGTTGCCTCGCCAAGTTGACTTGATCGTGTCTTCATATCGTTGAGGATACTTTGTGTATCCTGCTCTGCAACCGTGGCCGTCTCGGCCGCAGCTTCGTGTCTCTGTTGCCGAGCCAGTTGGGCTAAATCCAGGTTGAGACAGTCGCATCGGTCACATTAGTAGCGTCAATGGCGTCATTCACATCAGTCGAGTAGGCTGCGCCAGTGGATACCCAGCGACTTGGGTTGGCCGGGCCTTTGTCGCCCAACCTCCGCTGCATCAACCGTCAAAGACGCCCAAAGACTCGCCCGACTCCACAACATCCATCATGCACAGTTCGTGTTCTCACCAGCCTCGACAGTGGCCGCCAGCTTCGTGGTGCCTTGCTCAACGGTATCCACGGTGGCTTCAGTGTGCGCCTGCAGGGTCTGCTGAACACCATGTGTACCATCGACAAACGACCGCATCTTCTCATCCACCAGGTTGCTTCCGAGTGCCAACGTTTTCTCTGCGTCGGTCGATCGTGTGCCTAGCTCCACAAGTGCCGCATCGTGCGTCTTGACCGAGTCGTCGGCAAACGCCGCTGCGGTGCTAAAGAGACCTTCCAGACGTAAAACACAGCCACTGCAAAGTTATGGACTAACAACATCGCGCTGTAGCATCACCAATCGCATCCTTGCCCTTTGCGGATTCGGTCAGTGACTCTTGTGAAAAGGGTCTCCCTCCATGCTAGCCCAGACCGCTGCCTGCGCGGAGTAGCGGGGGGAGACTCAATCCTGACCAAACTCCACGAAGCCAATCGCCACCCTCTGCCGCATTCATAAAAAGGATATGATCAATCCGCTCTTGGGCAGCATCGCACTGTCGGGTCGCCGTCTCAGTGAATGCTTGCTCTCGGCGACTAGAGAACGCTGTGACCAGCTGCGTGATATCCGAGAGCAGGGTCTGCGTTGCCAAAGGCACGGCCTCGCGTTCCTGTGCCAGCTGCTCACGCAATAAGCGGTTTTGCTCCTGCAGGGCAGTGATCTGGATACGCGTGGAGCGGAGGCAATGAGCTGCATAAGTACAAGCAGCACAAGGAGACCACCGCTCTCATGAGTCCAGACACATCGGTGTCCTGACCACCCGAATCGCAGTCGTCGCATGACGCTAATGCGCACATTGATGCGCAATAACACCATGCAGGCGCACAGGCCAAGGTCTTGCTGTCCCAACCAACTCACCGCCGACGCCACCCCTTCGCCCAGACCACGCCTCGATTCTACGAATCGCTCGTGCAACGCACTACTCACCTCGGCACGAAGCACTTGCTGCACCTGTGCTTCTCGCTGTGACTCGGCGACCTTGCGCTGGTTGATGTAGCCTTCCATGGTTGAGAACGCAGCTCGGAGCTCGCTGCCAAACTGCTGGCTCCAGACAAGCATCTAGCAAGAGTTTCGTTGGTTATCCCACCACAGACACTCTGCCGGTCACCGTCGTATCCCTCCCCCATGTTGGCTACAATTGATCGTCTCAGTTGCTTCTGTTGAGTTCTTTACCTCGGTCTGGTGCTGTCCGAAAGCCTGCCTCATCGACTCGAACACACGCACGTTGCCCTCGACACTGGCACGGGCTCGGTCGTGTGCCTCTATGCGAATGGCCTTGATCAAGTCTTCGAGCTGGCTCAAATCACTTTGCAGTGCTTGATTACCGGTATCAAGTTGGGCCTTGATTTGCTCGCTATGGCCGAGCAAATGATGCAGGCCAGCATCGTGCTGGGCCAAAGCATCAGCCCAGTCCTGGAGAAAGCATTAGCGGGAACGTGGCGATGAGGATGTTGGAGCAAAGTCTGTTTAGTTCCGATATCTCGGCGTGTGTGTGTGTGTGTGTGTCTTTGTCGGTTTGCCAAAGTGCCCCAGTCGCCGAGTAAAAAAAGGTGGTTAAGCTACCTTGGATAGCTGTGACGAACACAGTCCAAATTTGCTGGCGAGCGAATCCAGAAACTCGCTGGTACTGTTTCTCATATTATCGACTTGGGTTTCGATCGTGTGGACATGGCTCTGCAGGTCCTCTTGGAATTCCGAGAAGACTCTGGTGTTTTGGATCTCGAGGGCCGACTTGCGCTCTGTAAGGTCGATGTAGATACGAGGGACAAGATGTGAGGATGTGATACGAGGATCAGATACGAGGACCAGATACGGGGACCAGATACGAGGACCAGATACGAGGATGAACTCAGATGCGGGGATTGGTGGCGGCCAGACTCCGTTTTTGTCGCTCCAAACGCATATCGCAATGACTGGGCAAAGCATAGTACCTAGCTTGGAATGCAGTCCGTGAATATCTTGCACGCTCGACTTGAGTGTGGAGACGAGACCGGAGGCGAGCGCATCCATGCGCTTCTCGGTTTCGGCATAGGCACTGACGGTGCAAGTGGGGTCAGATCAGGCGCACAAAGGTCAGGCATGCACAGACCCAACGTATTCCGGGCTGTGAGACCCTCCTCTGTCACCCAAATGCAGCCGCCTCATCGAGGTGGTTTCAAACACCGTTGTCCTTATGAATCGTCCTTGCTTGCGATCCTCAGTCACGTCTGCCTATCCTGTCACTCTATAACCTACCTCGTGATGATGATTTGGTTCTGGAGGGAATCGCGGGTGGTTTCCAATTGTTGGAGGGTCTCATTCAGTTCATTTTTCTTCTCGTCAATCTCATTCTGAGAGGGAGTAATGGCGTTTTTGACTTGTCAGTGGAGGTTGCATTGCTCTCCAAGGTGGCGCATGCGATCGGCTTCGTCGCTGCTCCGCCATCAGGATCTCCGCCCCTCCCTTCCTTCGTTTCGTTGTCCTCACCAGGGCCGCAGTCAGACTTTCGTTCGTGGTCTTGAGCAGCTCTGTGTGTTGCTCAAACTTTGTCTCGAGATGACGGATCATTTCTTGGCGGTGCTCGATGTTCTTCAGGAGCTCCTCGATGCGCTCCTTTCGTCCCTGGCTCTCACCAACGATGCTTTGGTAGGTCTGGTGCATCCGAGCGGGGTTTTCCAATGCAACAGTGATCAGAACGTGCCGGAGCAAGGTCCGTGCGGTCGACTATACCCCCCTCGATTGGTGTGCATGCGTTCCCAGATTGCAGCCCTTTCAACCCGGGGCGGACATCTAGAAACCCAGAAATGGAAGCACACGAGGAAAGCAGTCTTGCATGCCCATACCTCCTGCGACAAGTAGATGCCGTTCTTGTCTCGCGCAGCCTGCAGGTCGTTTTGCAGCCTCTCGATCTCGAAGGCATACTCGCGTATCAGCGCCTTCTTGGTCATCTTCTGGTTGACTTCGGGCTTGTTTCGGATGTTCTTGGCTCGACTGGCGTAGTCCAGCGTGGACTGCGATTCTTCCAAGTTGCACTTGGCCGGAGATACTGTGGGCCGGCAACGTATCGGCAAGCCCGTGTTATGGTGCGAATCTACTCTTCTGGACCGGCCGTCTCGCCAGACTTACCTGCAGCAATGATGCAAGTCTTGGTGCGGCCACCTGATTCGGGGATTCAAGTTGAAAGTGGAATCGTTAGCTGCAGATGGACGATGCCCCAGATAATCTCACTGCCTGTCTGCTTGCCGAGAGTCCAGCCTACCGAGTGAATCTTGGAGGAGGCGAGTCAGTTTACTCTCGCGATAGGGAATGTGCGGGCTGCGACCCACAAGGGCGTCGATAACGCGGCCCAGAGTGAGCAGGCTCTAGATATGATACAAGCGCAGGTGTCCAGGTCGATCCGCACGTTAGTGGAAGAGCGTCGCGTGCATTCGGGAAACTCGGTCCGATTCGGAATGACGCAGCGTAAGCGCCCTCAGGAACTATGTTGGTGAGTATTCATCCAGTGCTCTGTCCCATGTATGCTGCCGTCTCGCCAGTACCTGGTTGATCATTCCGGCCTCCTTGGCTCGCATTTTCTCGGCACCGGATCGGGCAATGTTCTCAGAGCCAGCCAAGTCGACAAGATTGAGCTTTCCGATCTGTGAAACGGAGTCGAGCGTTTGTTAATCAGCAGCAGTAGAAGTAAGCTTGTCTGCCGGTGCTACGACGGGCCACATCGGCGCTGTGACAGTCCATCCTGGCTCCCAAGAGTTGCATCGGCTCACCTTCAGCAGCTCCTCTCCATCAGGCGTTGACTCTTTGGTGTGGACGGTGATTGAAAAGATGCTGTGGGATCGACTGGAGGGGTTGGTGGTGGTGTGTTAGCACAGCCTTGGTAGTAGCACGTTGCCGCCGCCCAGCCTCTGTAGTCGACGTCAGTGCGCACCTCGAGACTTCGTTCATCTTGGTGGCCGCGATCTGGCGCTTATGCGATCCCTTTTGCAGGATTGAAATCACATCTTGGGCGTTTTTGACCATGATCTCCTCCAGCCCTTGGATCACCACCGATCCCTTCCGAGAAAGATCGTCGTAGATCCGCAGCTTTCGGAAATCGTCCTCGGGAGAAAGCAGGTCCTTCAGCTCCTCATTGTAGAGCTCAACAAACTATAGGAGCGCGCAATCGGTCCTGTGAGTCGACTCGACTCTTTCACTGATTGACTATCCTTGCCCAACAGAGCTGTGGCCGACGGATGGGCAAGTTGTACATACCGAAACTCTGACCGTGTACTCTGCGCATTCGCCGTCCAACGCATCGAACAGTGCGAACAGGGTTCGCGGGATCACACCAGCATCAGGGTGATTGGGGTCCGTGAGGTTGCCCTCCATCGTGTAGGTCTTGCCGGTTCCCGTTTGGCCTACACCCCCCCCCAACAAGCGGAGCATCATCAAAATGGACGTCGTCAGCAACCGCAGACCGTGGCTGCTTCGCGGACTGTGCGATTCCAACAATCGTCCTGTCCCTGCGCAGCTTCCCACATACCATAAGCGAATATGGTGCAGTTGTAGCCCATCAAGACCTGTCAGTTGTCCGTTGAGGATTTTAAAGGCGACAGCGACAGTCAATGGATGCAGTTAGCATAACGTTGAGATGAGGGGCCATAAGATGGCGAGTTAGACGGAAGAGCAGACCAAACGTGGGCACAGGTCCAGCTCGTTCGTCCTCAAATCGGGCTTCATTGCCACCACCGTCTCTGGCACAGCGATCAATGCCGCTCGTCAGTCTCACCTCCTCCAATATGGGAGAGACCACTTGATCGAAGACGTTCTTCTGGGTGCTTTCTGGCCCAAAAACCTTGTCGAAATGATAGGTCTTGGTGCTCATCGAGCTCGAGCCCGGTCCAACCTTCAGCAGCACTTCCTTGCCATTCTGGGCCGACGCAACCGAAGGACTGTTCTCGGCGATTTCCTTGGAGTTCCTCGGCCTGGTCGAGATATTGATGTTTCGGGGAGGTCCAAAGAATACGAATGGCAGTCGGCGGCATCAATCGAGAGAGAGACAGCAGGTTGGTGGCATTGGTGACATTGGTGGATGAACATACAATCATGACAGGGTTAAAATCTCGAGGCAACTTGTATCTGCACGAGCTCATGAGCGATCGCCGTTTGGACCAAGGACCAGCGCCTTCGCGAGGCATGTCCAGCAAAGCTTTCGTGCCGCTAAAGCCCAAGATCAATGCGAGACATCGCTCTGCTTCCGACCTCGAGGGCCGCAACCAACCTGCCCCTCAACATCGTCACTCATCGGTTGATGGCACTCATACCTGACTCTCACGATCACATTGATGTTTGTTTCTTTGTCGTTGTCCTTGCTCATCCTGGCTCCTCTCTGCGGTAGTCCGTTCTGGTGCGTTCAGGTCTGCTCTGGTGCGTTCTGGTCTGCCCTGGTCTGTTCTGGCGTGGCCAGCTCTGGAAGGTGTCCGCTTGCAGCAGCATCGATTTGGGTGCTGGGCACCTCGCCCATATTTGGGAATATTGATCCGGCAGTCCACGTGATGCGACTCCGACAGAACAAGCGCGGTTTCCAGCCAATCAGGGCGCGGCGCCGTCTCACTGAGTGCTCCGTCGGTTGCTGATTCCCCATGTTGAATCCGATGCTGCTCCATGCTTCGTGCCCCGGAGCACAGTCGTTCGCTCCAACTCGATCATCTCTCGTGAGGATTTCCCAGGGAGCAGAGACGGTTCATATATTTACTGCTGCACCCATCAGTATCGAATGCTCTCATCGTCAGGCTTTGGCTTTTGGCGATTCTCCAAGGCCTCCTGGTCGTCCGGATGCCCAGAACTGCCGTCATCGGCATCGTAGCGTTTGCGGGACATGACGTCTTCTTCCAGAGACTCGATGATCTCTTTAAAGACGCTCTTGCCCGACGAGGGTGCCGACGAAAGATCGCCAAAGACACCCAGGGTCCGTGCAACAGGCTTGGCCTGCTTCCATTCAGTCCGGCCGATGTGTTCCAGCCCAGGAGCGATCGTGGCCGATCCCTTGTATGCAGACTTGTCGCGCGGCAGCCCCTTCTTTTTGGATCGCTGGAAGCTGAGCTTCACGAGACTAAGATTGATGAGCCGCTCGCAGTTGCGCTTCAGGTATGCCGCCTTTTCGGTATCGGTGAAGCACGTTGGGAAGCGGACGCTGCGAGAGGAGCACACTGGCGGTGAGCTTCTTGCGGATATGAACGCAGCATCCCACGAAATCCTCTCCTCTCCTCTCCTCTCCCGAGCCGTGACCTGCAGCGTTACCTCAGCCAGAGATAGAGTGTGATGATCTTGTGCATCCCCTCGATCACACGCAGGGCCTCGATGGTTGCGGGAGGCTGTCGCGGCAGCACAATCTTTTGGTCGATTGGGCACTCGCGCCGTTCGATAAACGCATCCACAAAGAGCATCATGCATTTGTCTGCAAACCCGCCGTCGACTGAGTGCGGGGCGTTTGTGAAGATGAACCGGTCCCGGAGTTCGAGCGGCTTGTTCTCAAGAAGCGTGGCAACCTCTTTCTGGTTTCTGAGATTGCACAGAAAGTAGTCGCCATCGAGCCTCGAGAGATCCTCGTATCGCTCCTGAGCAGGATGCAGTCGTACGAGCACAACGGACGTTATTGACAGGCGGCGAGCCTTGGGCTAGTTGCAGTGCTTTGACTAGCTGCGGTACCTTTGCGTCGACGTCCTGACATCCACCGAAGCGTAGCCAACCCCGACAGTGACCACACACGACAGCCCGCACCGACTGCCGCACAACACGACGGTTACGTACGAGTAAGCTCGTAAAGCCCATGCTCGGGAACTTGTTCGAGAACTCCTCAACCTGTTCGAGTGTTGGAAGCAGACCGGCGGTCTGTCGCCCAAGACGAAGGGTGGCGGATGGTGTCAGGGGCCGGAATCAGGTTGCTTCTGTCATTCGTGACCGGTCCGTAGCACAAACCTCGACCAAGGGCAGATCGGCGTTCATGTAGTACTTGAGCCTCTCGTGATCGATATCATCGAGTCTGTAGACAGCGTTGGTTGACTGGGCGTGAGTATCCTTCATACTTGAACCCATCCATGCACACAGACAGCTTTGGCTGCTGAAGCTCCTCCCAATATACTCGGCTGCTCAAGGTCCTCTGGCCTCATCCACTCATTTGGTTCCTCTGACCTCGCATGCTCATGCTCTTTGAGAGGTGGAATCGGGGCTGGACTCACGCGCAAACGTATCCTTCAGGGTGCTCGGTACCAAAGCGTCCCGCACGGCCGGCTATTTGCTTGACCTGCGAGACACTGAGGTAGCGGCTGACCTCTCCGTCGAACTTTGTCAGTCGCTCGAAGACGATACGCTTGATGTTTCTACAAGGGAAGTATTGTGTTTCCGAGTAAGTCATAGCCACAGACTTTATAGGCCTCGTGTATACAGTTCTCTGGGCAGTTGGACCATCCACATGCATCTTGGAGAAGAACCTACAGATTGAGTCCCATCCCGATGGCATCCGAGGCGACGAGCACATCAAATCCGCTTCCAGGCTCGTTGAAGAGTCGCGCTTGCTCAGCCCTGGTTTCTGCCAGCAAAAAATGAAAATGAAAGCGACAAAGATTGGTCGGTTAAACACTGAGTTTATCACTGAGTCGAGCACCGAGTTCAGCACTGAGTCGAGCACTGAGTTTGCCAGTGCCCTCATCCTGCCGCTGCTAGTCCTGCGATTTTCCAGAATCTAGACACAAGGCAGTAGTATTGATATATACCCACGCACTTTTAACAGCCGTTGCGATCCGCAAGGAGGGGGGGCAGTCGGCTCACCTGGTGGCAGACTGCCGTAAATCACCGCACACTTGAATCCGGTGCTCTCCTCGATGTGCTTCTTGACCGCAAAGATGTTTCGGCGCGAAAACGTGACAACAGCGTCGCCCTTCTTGACATTGCCAAATTGGCCATCGAGCGATGGACTCAGATGAAGCGATGTCAGACGATTGTACTGATTGACTTCAACGTCCTCGCCTATCGAGGCACATATTCTCTTGATGAGATCGACCACGGTGGACTCGCCGCACAAGTGAATCTCTCGAGCCTGCAAACCTGCGAAAGCACGTCAAATGTCAGGACAGCCGAGGACATGCATCGGCTCCGAGTCAGATATCGGCACGTCTGGCATCGCGAGCCATGGCCACGGAGGCCAAATCTACCGACCTAGCAGGGCCTGTGTCCATGCCCAACCGCGATGTTCGTCGTTGATCATTTGGATCTCGTCGATGATCGCAACGTCATAGATCCGGTTCAGAGGCGCCATCTCAACCGTGGCCGAGTACAGATCCACATCGTCACTTTCGCGTCGCTCTTCGCCCGTGAGCAGGTTGCATGGGACACCCTTCCGATTCATTTTGTCGTAAATTTCGTGGGCCAGGAGTCTCAGCGGACCGCAGTATAGTCCGCTGGCACAGTTCTCGAATCGAGAAAGTGCTGAATAGGTCTTGCCCGAGTTGGTGGGGCCGACGTGGAGAATGATTTTCCTGGGCAGCATGGGGGGGGTCGGGGAGATTAGAATGCAGCTGCAAGACGTGTAGATCCAAGTGGCGGAGTGAGTCCTGGCATGGCCGTATCGTTCGCCAAGGCTCTATCTCGGGTGAAGGAGGTCGCTTGTTGCATCGTCTAGGAGTGGGCCTCCCTCACCGCGACGGTCTTCCACGGCCATTGAGAGAGAAACATTGTAAATGGAAAGAGCTCACCTGTCCATGCGTCGGGCTGCCGGAAACAGCTCGGTTGGAGATGTGAGATCGGTGGACTCGAGCATGGCCGACATCACCAGTGCCTTGGCGGGCTCCATCTTGGCAAAGTACTTGAGGATCTCAGGCAACAGGATCCGGTTCAAATTGGCTGTTCGTTCTCATCCGTTCCAGGCGGGTTCGGCAGGCGGATTAGTTTTGGTCCCATTCCGTTGGAGGTGCCATGTCGATTCAGGTCGATTGGGGGGGGGTTTACGAGGCCGGTTGGGGTTAGTCGAGATAGCGCCGTGGGCGATTATCAGGAGTTGTTCACAGCGAACGATCGAGCACGGATATGGTCTCCAGCGACCACAGAGCAAAAAACCATATTCATCATCATGTCTCGAGACACGTTCACGGCCATAATCACAGCCATAGTTGGAATCGGGATTGGGCCTGGGCGGCACGTACATCTCGCCTTCATGTGGATGATCAGATGCTTCAGTGTCAAATCCAGTTTTCCGTCCAGCAGATCGGCCCGGAAGGCAGAAATTGCGCGCCGATAAACTTCGGCGCCGATACCAACGGCAAAGCAGCGCGCGAGCAGGATGCGGTTCCTCGGGAGGTTCGTCAAGATCGGCTCCAGCTCTGAATTCATGAGCAGGATTGGCGGTGTGAGCAAGAACAAGTGCGGCGCACGGATGGTTGGCTCTGATGTTGCCCGCTTCGGCTGTACCATGGCTCTCCCACTCCATCTCTCTCTACCACTCGCCCATCTTCTGATAGCTGCGGCTCGCATTCCTCGTCAAACTCATGACGGCTTTTTCACGCGAGGTGTACTCACTCTGCATATACTTGTGGAACTCTTGATCGGAGAGCTCCTCGTTCAGGTCAATCAGTCGAGAATGCGGGATAAATTCGGTGACGGAGCTCTGGTTCTTGGGCGAAAGGGAGGACTCGTTGTGTCCCCCCTTTGCATACTGGCGAGTCGAGTACGTTGGCAGGTTGTCGGGTCGGTTGACGATCTTTTGGGCTTCGCCCGAAGACTTGCTGCTGCGGAAGCGAAGACTCTGTCCGCAGAAAGCCCCCAGCTGACGATAATGGCACGCTGTCGCCACCATCAAACGCCTTGGGGAAAGGAGGGCTCTCTGCAGAGCATAAGCAGAGACATGGAGACGCATTCTCGGCGAATGCACCGGTCGCTGTGGTGATGGCTGTGGCAGAGACCGATCCAGCCCAGATCGGGTCGGCTGGGTTTGGGCCGGAGGCTGCGGCTCGGCATCACTGCGGTCATGTGACGGGCGCCGACTCCGCGCCACAGCCGATCCTGGCCGCGCCACGCCGTGTTATATGTAGCCACATAGCCACGGCATATTCAAAAAAATGGAGTCCCTGACGATTGCTCCTTGGGTAGCCCAGTGTGGCTGCACCCGCCAAGGACAGCCTGAGTCCTGGACTACGTCACCTTGAATCAAGCACGCTGACCTGGGTGCAACGTCGACGCTGAGATTGATGTGCTGTCAGCCCGGCTTCTATCTGCATCTCAGTCGCCGCACCTGCGGGAGCCGCCATTAGTACCCGACACAGTCGCTCGGATCTTTTGACTCGGTCTCCGATACCTCATCGCATGTGCCAGGGTTTTCGACTCGGACTGCACACTCTGTCACCTTCCCACGGCCGCGTTCTGCTCCAAGATCGATTGCATTTGCCTGGGCGTACGCTTCGTCCATGTCTCCAAAGGAAGGGTATCTTCAGGTTGTCGATCCTCGGTCCAGCGAGGGCGGGCCTGACGCTGCGTTGTTGCTGAGCCTCGACCGCGAGGATCCATTCCTGTTGGAAACGCTCGAAGCCCTCATCGAGTCCCACGCGAAACAGGGCAAGTCCTTGATTCTCGCACGGGTGCAAACGATCGACCCAGCGGCGCCGCATCGGCCAGTATTCTTCTATTACTATGCGCCATCTCTGAACAAGGTTATTTTCCGAAAGTATGGTCGGCGACAAGAGTATCTCTTCCGGCTGTTTGCGCTCAACCCCCTAACCAACACCGAGATTGTTGGTGATGTGGACTACTTCATGGTCGAGACCACGGACAACAGCAACAGCAGTGACCAAGTCTCGTCCTCTCGCTCCACACCGGGCATGGGTATGAAAGCTCTCGCACAGCGATTCAACGAACTGGCCACAAACTTCCCCAGCAGCCCTCCGGTCAGTCGCATTTCTGTAGGCTCCAGGGACGCGCGGCGAAAGCTCTCGCTCAACCAGCTCATGCTCAACTCGGTCGGGAGTCTCAACTCGCTCAAGGTTGCCGAGATTGTCGGCCCAGAGTTGAACAAGTCCACAAAGACTCTGGAGCTGGGAACCGCCGCTCGAAGCCGGGGCTCTTCAGCGGACTTGAAGATCGAGCCGGTTGTGGCCGCATCCAGGGATGATCTCATGGTGCTGCAGGCCTTTGACGAGCTGCAGCGACTCAAAGACTTGCAGAGCACCACCATGGAAGAGTGCGTTCGTCGTCTGCGCTCGCAGCACCAGAACTATGTGAAGCAAGTGGCCAGCAAAAGCCACGAGCATCGAGGCAGCATCGGCCATCGCAACATGGACACAGCTTCGCCAAAGAGCATCGAAGATCAACCGGATCAAATCAAGAGCCCAAAGGACATAAGCGCACTATCTTCTATTTCGATTCAGGACATTTTTGAGCCTTTCGCCAACATGGGGTCTAGCGAGTGCCTCAACGGACCGAAGGCATATAGATCGGTCACGAACATTGCAGCTTCTCGAGCCGTTGCAGGTGATGATCTAGGTCACTATCCGTCGGCAGAGTGTCTGGATGCCAAGCCCACTGGCGACAGCCCCTTCTCACCAAGCACAGGGGCCGGCTGCGGCCAAACGAGTCAAGCTACGCTTAAACTGACGCTGAGGAAAAAGTCGATTCCCACGGAAGAGGTCTCGGGCAGCATCGCTGCGATCCGAACGGCGACCTTGGAGAAGAAGGGGGCTCCGCCGACAGGCGTCTTTGAGTCGAGTGACTGCGACAATGATCAATCCGAGGCCAGCGGGCATTCTCAGTACGGCGAGGACGAAAAGATGCTCGAGCAGGGCGAGCAGAGCCCGGTCGAGGCATACTCGTCCATGATACGATACCGGGCCGTGTTCATTGGCACCGACGATGACTATCTGGCACGAGCTGTCGTGCGCAAGCTCTTCGAGGTCAACGCCCTGGACCCGGCCGATTGCCAACTGTTTGACATTCCACGCGAGGCCCTGGAGAACGAAGGTTCGAATCCCACAGACAGCCATTCGCGGCAAGGGCCTATGGCTGGGCATGGCGAGCGAGTTGAGGGCAGAGTGGCGCCAGGATGCTCGGCTGCAACGAGCCTCGTAGCCATGATGACGTTGTGTGTCGGTGGCCAGGATAGCATGCGCACGGTTCAGCGTTTGAGGGAGTCTCCGATGCCGAAGCATGTTGCTCTGCGGGGCTGCCAACGAGGCGCGGCGCTTGTCGTTCTCATAACCGCGAGCAGTTGCCATGCGGGCTGGGAAAGTGGAGCATCACAGGCCCCTCAGATATGCGCCTCGAGCACACTTGGCTCACGTCCTTGTGTGGTTGTTCGGCTCTTGCTTCGACAGGGATTCAAATCGAACTCGACGAAGCTCAGTACGATGAAGTGATCGGACCGCAACAACTCGAGTCCAGTAACCACCCTGGCTTTCGTCCGTCATACTGGAATCGCCCGAACGCCCACCTGTCTGCCGTGGGCTTCTACGGGCGGGCCCGCCGAACCCTTCAGCCGTACTCGATCGTCATGGGCACGTTCTATGTCGTCCTATCGGGGCTGGTGCTGATTCTGACGTCGGGAACTCTGACAGAGAAGTCGCTTATGAGTGTGACCCTGCTGCTGATCTTTGTATGCGTGTTGCTGGGAGTCAAGGTGATGGACTCGAGGATGACTGCCCGATGGGGAGTGCTGGTTGATGAGGAGAGTCTTGTGGAATCTGCATCATGAATCGAATGCGCATCATGAATCGGTATGAAGGGTCGGGCCCGGCTGGAGCGGGGGTGTCGCCCCGGGGTGAGCTCTGGGCAAGCTCCCGTCCGTCGACCACTCCAAAGCCTTGTTGGTGTCGATCGCCGTCGGAGACTGACGGTGGGCCAAGCGACCCCGCCCTCGTGGCTCAGGGTCGGGGGGGGGTGTCCCTTGCAGGCATCTGGGGTCGGGGACCAAAGGGTGCAGGCGGGTCGAGGATGCGCAACAGTACCATGACGACCCAAGGGTGCCTTTGGAGGGTGCCTTCCGTGGTGGGTGGCAAGACGCAGACGGGATGCGATGGGATGGCGATGGGAGGACCCGTGTGAAGAGGAAAGCCTGGACGGGTACCAACCGTGGGATACAAAGTGACCGACAGCAGCGCTGGAGGGAGGAAAGATACATCGACAGCGATCAGGGCACCGGTGATCGTAGCATGAGTGATCATAACGTCGGTGGTCATAATATCAACGATCGTTACTTGGGCGATCATCGCTGCCGAGGCGGTCGTTGGATCGATCGATCGCCGACTCTGCAATCCCAGCACAAGCGCATTCGCGGAGGACCCTGTACCTTGGGGGTTTCAGTCTCCGCTGACATCGACACTGTTGCGGCATGCTTCCGCTGCATGCATCTTGCTATCGTTAACGCATACATTACTGCTAACACTCGCACCAGCACTCGCACCAACACTCGCACCAACACTCGCACCAACACTCGCACCAACACTCACATTAACACTCACGTTAACACCCCCAATAACAATAGCACCCCTCTGCATCCAAACATTCGCCCTCGGCGGGTCCATCCCGGCGGCCTGACGAACACCCTTGCGCTCCCCCCGTCGCCGTCCCTCGTTCGCAGCTGCCGTCTTTTCTCTGCCCTCCGCCCGACCCCAAGCTCGCCCAGCCCTCTTCGGGCTCGGGCAGACGATCGGCGTTGCCTCCGCCGTGCGTCGGTACATAAAAGTCCCATATACCTCATCTCTCGCAGCTGGGTGATCTCTGCTTTCGTTAGTGCTGCTTCGCTCACACTGGCCCCTGTCCGTTGCATATCTCGCCTGGCTCATCACTGCCACCTACGCTCCTATCCCAAAGGACTCATTGCCTCTGTTGTCAGCATGGGTCTCATGCGTCAGCTTCTTGTACTCGCCATCCTGATCTGGGTGGCTCGTCCCCATGCCATCGACTCTGATTCGCCCCGTAGAGGCAAATGCAGCAGTCATGAGCCTGCTCGATACCACCGCGACGACAACGACGATCGCTGCCGCGGCGTCGACTGGCGCTCGCTGGTTTGCTCGGGCTTCCGAGATCAAGACTGCAGCTGGGACGAGTCCGTCTATGAGCACGAAGACGAAGTGTGGATCAAGACGGTTGTTTGGCAGCGAGTGAAGCATCACCGCAAACCCGAAAAGTGCTTGCCAAAGCGCCCCCCGAGCCATTCTCGAACTTCCCAGCATCCACACCGCTCCACCAGCCGGGCTTCGGTCTCGCCAACGCACTCTCATAGCACCCCAGGCACCTCGCCCACTTCGCACATCCGCCGCTCCAGAACCCATGTATCTGTTGTTCCGACATCTGCAACCCAGCTCGCTCTCTCGGCCACAACCGCAACCGCAACCACCACCACCACCACCACCACCACCACCACCACCACCACCACCACCACCTCTACTACTACTACTACTACTACTACTACTACTACTACTACTACTACAACTACCACCTCGCCCAGCCCCGTTGCAACTTCCAGTTCTCCCTCTGGCATCGGAGTTGTGCCCACATCTGTAGCTGCATCTCCAACGGTCTCTGTCACCGGCAATGCTAATACTGTGCTGCCAACTGCCACAACGTCTGCCAGCGCAAGCCCGACTGGTGACTGCACCGCCTCGGTTCTGTCCTCCTGTAGTACATCGCAGATGGGCTCGTATCGCTGCTGCGACAGTGCCAACACTGTACAAATGTGCGCTTTCGGATCCAACTTTGGCTCCCTGACCTCACCCGAATGGGTCACCATTGCCGACTGCGGTGCTCAACAGCTCAAGTGCGCTCTGGATGACTGGGAATGGTAGCTATCCTGTGTTTTGCGCACCGCTGCTCTTCCGATTGTATCAATGCTGAAGGTCGTCTCTCCGAGCCGCAGCTATACTGACAGCGATGATGTTTTTTCTTTGATGTCCTTTAGTGTCTCCCCTTCGCAGCTCGGGCCTGATGGTCGTCTGGCTTGAACCGCCGCCTGCCCGGCACTCTGGGCCAGATTGTGTGCTTTTTGATCGCAGACCACTTTTTTCTGCCTACCCCCTGAACGTTTGCTGTGCAGTGCGTGCCGTTTCATGTTTGCTGTGCCGACGGTCTGTGCCGACGGTCCTGACGGTCCGGCCCTACAGACCATCTCTGTTCGACCAGTTGCCGTCTTATTGCTGTCCGCCAGACCAGACCGGACCGCTTCCGATCCATCCGATGCAATCGAATATCATTCAGTTAAAACAGTACCAGGCGCAGACCGAACGAGCCGGTCGCCCTATCCACGATCGCTGTCGGGGCCCTCTTCCAGACGACCGAGCAACTGGCACGCGCCCGCCTCCGGACATCCAGCGGGGTCTTCCGATCGCGGAGTGGCGGATGGGTGTGTATTCAGGCTTCGAAGAAGAGGCGGCCATCAGCCACAAACACACAACATCCCAGCCCCTTTCTCAAATACTGAGAGTGAAGGAAGTGGTCATTGGACTCATATGCCAAGGTGCCCTCGAGCTTCAGCTGACGAGCGTTGTAAAATCTGACCGTGAAGCGACCATGTGGCATCGGAGTCTTGGATTCGGTACAATTAGAGAACCTCAATGTAGGCAGATCCTAGGGCAATCTCTCGACCGTTCCTGAGCTTGTGGATGGTCAGCCCGATGTCGACGCCATCGATGGTGAAGGGGATGTGACCCTCGTGGTCGGGAAGGGCGTAAAAGCAAAGCGTGTACAGCGCCAGCTCAAACTCGGGGCTGAAGTCATTGCAGGGACGGAGTGCGAAACAGTGTCGTTTTAGATGGGAAACAACCATTGGTGCCAGTTGGCCTAGCAGTGAGCATTTCCTACCTGACGCCCATCAGAAAGGTTGAAACGGGCTTGACGCAACCGTGCCATTCAAGCTGGCAGGACATGATGTGATCCCTGCCCGTCGGCTGGACCACAGCAGAGTTTTAGTGTCTCCATGCCGATCCAGGTCTACATTGCAATCTACGCTTCCGCAACCCTTGCGTGTCGCTTGCGCGCTGGCAAGTGATCTGCTTACATGGTCCAGCTTGGTGCCCTTTCTCTTGGGCGTGATGTAGCCACGATAATTGGCGTTTCCGCGACTTTCTTCGATATAAAACTGGATCCAATTATGGAAGCCAATCACCTGGTTGTCGCGGATCTCGCCCAGGAACGTGTGTTCGAAGGGACAAGAGTCGTTCTTGCTGACTCTTCTGTACATCTGTAGCGCCATTGCGTCACGGTGGCAAGGTTACCAACGTGGTCCATGACCCATGTGTCCCGCTTCGAAGACACATGATGCATCGGCACAAACATAAATCTTCCAACATCCACGGCAGCGACATCAAACAAACAGGCCCAGGCGGAAACCTACTCCGAACCAGAGATGGATGACATTTCGCTTGAACTCATTCAGGTCGCAGTGGGTGAGTCCCTTGGCCTTCAGGTACTTGTACAGATACGCACCGCATTTGGTCTTCAGGACAGAATCAACAAACTTGTGCTGCTCGGTGACTTCGGCCGCAGTCTCATGCTCCTCGATGCCAACGGTAGCGTGATAATTATCCAGGAGGCTGATGAAATACTTGAAGGTTGGGCGTTCGAAGATGTCTTGGTGAAGGTTCGAGAAGAGCCTTTCTCGAGCGACGTCATCTGCCAGCCAAGGACTTTGTGAGCAGTCTGCATTATCGCAGACATGGACGCACCCGATCCACGGCGACTCATGCCCAATGCAGGATGGTGTCCATAAGTCCATGCGACGCATGTCTGGGAGCAAGGTTGCGCGGGCCTTTGGCTCTTTCGCTACTTACCGGCATTAGAGACAAATGTCTTATGCTGGAGATTGAGTTGGAAGTTCTGTCCAGGGGCCAGGCGGTCTGTATCCAAGTTCCACAGCTGTTCGACCGCCAGAGATATATCCCCCAGTTCCTGAGGTGTGGGCTCAGGACAGTCCGCCGAGGCATAAGTTGTAGTGACCGTGGAGTATGAAGTGGATGTGCCGAGGTTCGATGTGGTAGTTGTGGTAGTCGTTGTGGTGGTTGTGGACCCACCAACGGCTCCGGCTGCGGCGTGGTGTGCGTAAGAATTGTCAGCAGAGCCCTCGTTTGCAGTGGTAGTAGTGGCGGTTACATGTTGGGCATAAGTTGTAGTAGAGCCACCCGAGTGCGAGGTGGTCGCCGAGTAGGACGAGTGGACTTTGCCCTGCACTGGTTGATTATAGGTGGCGGCGGTCTGGTTGCCAGTGCTACTCGACGGTGGAGGGGGGAAGTTTTGGTCATAAGGCTGCTGCTGTTGGTAAGGTGGTTGCTGTTGGTAGGATTGCTGCTGTTGATACGATTGCTGCTGTTGGTAAGGCGGTTGCTGTTGGTAAGGCGGTTGCTGTTGGTAAGGTGGTTGCTGCTGCTGCTGCTGCTGCTGCTGGTGAGATTGTTGGAACTCGTTATGTAGCTGCCCGATGATTTGCCCCGCGCCAGGGATCTTCTTGTCAACTTCCTGCTGGACTTTGTTGATGATGTTGTTCAGGAACGACATGGCGGGCCGGTTATCCTCGTGGTCGTGGTGTTCGTGATGGCGGTCGCCGTGGCGGAGGGTTGGTGACGAGACCGGCGGGTGGAGGCCGCCATCCACCACGGCGGCGCTGCCCTGTGGCGAGCACACCATATGCACAAAATGGGGAACATGAATTTCATTAGGCTTGCGCCCCGCGGTCTGCTTGCCGCTCCAGGCCACCCAGAACCGACACGGCCGTCACAGCCCCGCAACGAGATCTCGGGGATTCCTGGCCCACCAAGCAGCCATGTCGACGGGATCGGTCCAGCGCACCGGGAGAGAGCTCCCGGCCAAGGAGTCTGCTCTGTTCAAGTCGATCCTGGTAGGTCGGCCGCTGTCCTGTTGTTTGTCACCCCCCCGGATTATTGCTTTGCTGCCCGCCAGCGGTGCCAAAGGATCGTCTTGCATCCGACTGGATCGTGACGGTGGCCGCCCCGGAAACGATACCAACCATCACCAGTATCAAGCGGCCTCCTGGTCCAAACCACGCAGCTGGCTTGGATGCCACCACTCAACACCCGGTCCATGACGGCGCTCCAGATCACCGCCACCTCGGGTGCCCGACCGACCTTGGGGCAGGAACGACACCTGAGCACAGCTATCAGGCAGGCGGCAGATCGACAGCAAGTCTGAGTCTTACCAGCCAAATGACCATGAGTGGGTCCATATGGCTGGCGATCGGATGATTGTCTGATGCCGCCACTCAGAACCCTATTCGGATGGGATCGCAGCGACCACACAAATCATTACCGGACATGATCTTGCCAAGCCCACGAGGATCGCCGCTCAGTTCCTTTTGGGATCAGTCCCAGACGCATCGCTGAAACAAGTCATGGAGTCGTCTCCAGCTCAACCAATGCTGTCGCGGATCGTCCCCAGCCTATGACACGCCATATTCTCGGGCACATGCATATGGTTTAAAGACATGTCCTGCACAACAGTACAGCAACATTCCGACTGACGTACTCGGTTGTGGCCTTGCAGAAATTTTATGAACATAAGCAGTACAAGAAGGGAATCAAGGTTGCCGAGCAAATCTTGAAAAAGTTTCCCAATCATGGAGGTCTGCACCCGCCCTAAGTCGTGCTGCCAAACTTCCTGGCCTCCGTCCGCTGTGGAAACGACTGTTCTGAGAACTTGAACTCTTTGCTCACGAATCCTGCGATGGATATTCCACCATACCTACAGAGACTCTGGCCATGAAGGGTTTGTTCTGCGGACACCTGGATCGCAAGGAGGATGCCCATCAGTTTATCAAAAAGGGCATCGTGGCCGATATGACGAGCCATATATGTAAGACAAATGTGCTCCGATGTGTTGGAGAGGTCCCTTGTCCTTTGCGATGGACGCCCTTTGGTCTGCTATGCCTGTGGGTGCTTTGACCGTTGGGCTACCATGCCAGCGGACGGATCTTGGTGCAGTAATGCCTCCTCTAACCAAGTTGACTCCCGGGTCTGCATCAGGCTGGCACGTCTACGGATTGTTTTACCGCGGCGAAAAGAACTACGAAGAGGCGTCCAAGTGCTACATCCAGGCTCTGAAGTTTGACAAGGTACCCGCGCTGTGACCTGGTGGCAAACTCATTGGCGGTTCGCTTCGATCGATCTTCCACCGAGAGAAACTCTGGCAGTGAATCTGACCCTCAGCTCCTTTGGCCGGATATATGTAGGAAAACATCCAGATCCTTCGAGACTATTCGCTCCTTCAGTTGCAAATGCGCAACTACGAAACGCTCAAGGACTCGCGTCTTTCGCTTATCCAACTGCGCTCGAGCAACCGACTGTTTTGGGTCGGTCTGGCAATTGCCTACCACCTTCTTGGGAACTACGACCGTGCCATCGATGTGCTCACGACCTATGAGCAGTGTGATGCCGGTGCCATCGAGGGTCCTCTGGCTGCCTTCGAGATCAGCGAGCTACTCTTGTACCGCAACTCTCTGATCGAGGCGTCGGGTGATCTGCAGAGGGCCTATGACGACCTGGAGGACATCAAGCGCCGCGTCGTCGACAAGCAGTCCTGGAAGCAAGCCAAGGGCCGCCTTACTATGAACCTGGGCTACGAGACCGCGTGCCAGCAGGTCTACGAAGATCTGGTTCGCTCTAATCCAGACTGTGTCCAGTACATTATCGGATACCAAGGCTCCTTTGGATGGAGCACCGTCGCCGATGACAATATCGAGGAGGTTTTGCAGTTTTACGAGAAATTGTCCAACGCGTACCCAAGGTCCAACACACTCAAGCGCATACCCCTGCAATATGCCACGGGTAAGGCGCAAGGGCTGTTGCAGCACATGCCACCGATCTGTACTTGCCGAGTCCAAGCGCCTTGCATGACACTTGTTACCAGCAACATCCTACTCCTGCCGGACTCGCGCGCGTGTAGCACAGTGGCGATCCGCAACCGCCTCGCGGCTTGGTCTCTGGATGGGATATTAACTCAATTCGTGGACCCTAGGCGATCGCTTCGCGCAGCTGATGGATGTGTATCTCCAGAACAACTTCCGCAAGGGTGTCCCATCTCTCTTTGTCAGCCTCAAGGACTGTCTCAAGGATGCAAAGAAGCTCCGCGCCATCGAGGACTTGGTCAACGGCTACAAAGACTCTCTTGAGCGTACCGGTCGCTTCGGTGCCGAAGGTCAGTGCAGTACGATTGTGGGCTGAGAGGCAGGCAGCATCCCCATCAGCATCAGGGCTATCTAGGATCAGTCACGCGTGCAGCTGCGGTTGATCCTTCCGAACTTGCCAATCCCATTATACTTGGTGCCTGAGCTATTGTTGTCGTTGAAAACAGGCGAGAAAGAGCCGCCAAGCACCTTGCTGTGGGTGCTGTACTTCCTGGCCCAGTTCTATGACAAGCAGGGCCAGGCTAACACGGCGCTGAAGCACATAGAGGCCGCCATCAAGCACACCCCTACCTCTGTTGAGCTGCACATGACTCGGGCTAGGATTTACAAGGTATACAATGGCCTGCATTTGGTGTCGATTTGCGTTTCGTGTCTGCTTTTGAGATGGGTCGGGTGCTACGGCATTGCATTTGGCCAGTGAGCAATTTCGGATCTGCTGGTGTTTGTGTTTATTGCCTTTGAATCGTTGTTTGGCGGGGGTTCATTTGTTCCGACGTGCTGACCAGTTCGCCTCCCTTTCTTGCCGCCCGGGTTCCCTCCTCACTCACTGTGTCCTTCGCCGAATACTCTGGATTTGCGCTGTCCGCATGAATCCAGCACGCCGGCGACAATCTCAGCGCAGCCAAGTTTATGGAGGAAGCTCGCGAGCTTGACTTGCAAGACCGGTTTGTCAACTCGAAAGCCACCAAGTACTGGCTTCGAGCCGATAACATCGCGCAGGCGGAGAAGACTGCTGGCTACTTTACAAAGGTAAATCCGACGAGTTGATACAATCCGCTTTCAATTGTGCTGATTCGCGTTATGCAACCTTTCTCGCTCTGCTCGACGAGTCGCTGGCTTTGCTAACAATTTCCCCGCCGCCACCCTATACTCTGCATCAGCACGATGCACCTGACCCCGTCAGCGACCTCACGGACATGCAGTGCTTTTGGTTCCTGGTGGAAAGCGCCAAGAGCTATGTCCGGCTCAACAAGCCCGGAATGGCGCTCAAGCGCCTCAACTTGGTCGAAAAGATATTCAACGATATTTACGACGATCAGTTCGACTTCCATTCATATTGTCTGCGCAAGATGACCCTCCGCTCCTACACCGAGTTCCTGTTCCTCGAAGATAAGTTGAAGAGCCACCCCTTCTTTTTCCAGGCTGCCGTTGTGGCGACCAAGCTGCTTATCAATCTTCACGACAAGCCAAAAGGTCTTGGCGACATTGACATGGAAGAGTATGGTAAGCATGCTTGGGTCGGATGATGTTGACGAGCCATGTCCGGTTTAATCTGTCGCGTGTGCGACCTGATCGAGGCTGTGCGACGACATTAGGCTCAACCTTGGCTCTTTACTCGACCCCACATTGTAATCCTCCATTTCTCTCTTGTAGCCAACATGTCCGCTTCGGACCGCAAGAAGGCCCAGCGTAAGGCTCGCAAGGCTGAACTGAAGAGTGCAGCGGAGGGCAATGTCACTCCAGCGGCCGGAGCCACGGCCGTTACAGTGGCGGCGGGCTCGAGCAGCAAGAAGAAGCCCGTTGACGAGGATCCTTCTGGCGAAAAGCTCTTGAATTCCAATGACTTCTTGGGTGATTCCTTGAAGTTCCTTCGCCCCTTGCTCGAACTGAGCCCAACTCGGATCGAGAGCCAGTACCTGGGTGCCGAAGTCTACATCAGAAAGAGTATGTCATTGCAATACTTGATTCGCATGGCCAGCGATTGTTTGCTTGCTCGCTCGTCCATAATGGCGGTGTACGGTAGCTATGCATCGTGTAAGCGGCGTGCCATGCCATCTCTAATGCGTATTCAAATCGTATACAGAGAAGTATTTGCTTGCTCTGAAGTGCATCAAGGCTGGCTTAGCCATCGACCCTCGCGACAGCAATCTCCACAAGGCCATTGTCCGCTTTATTCGCGACGGTGGGTGCAGACTTTCCTCCGAGCAGCTTGATACATATGTTTTGGGTCTTTGTGGCTGCTAACAGCGACGGCCCTTCTCTCTTCAGTTCGCAATCCTGAAAATGAAGCCGATGCAGCGGTCGCCGCCTTGATCGATGAGGAGCTTGAAGCCATTATCCCTGGAGCTTTTGGCGATGTCGTCAAGTACAACGACCGATTCTGTGAACAGAATGCGCTCAGCCTTGCACATGTCCTAGCGGCAAGCGAGATCGGCTCGGTGCTTGGCTCCGCACACAGCAAGGCCCAAGGGGCCAAGCAAGTGAAGGAGGCTTTTATGAAGGACGGCTGCGAGTTCACACTAGAGGTATGGCTGCCTCCCCCCCCTTTTCTTACCTGGGTGGCCCGGTGATGACCCGTGGTATCCGCTCGCTGCTTGCTCGCAGTTTGAATTCCAGCTGGCGTTGGCTCACACGCTCGTCCTATACAACAGACGGCCGTTGCTGCATATGCGTTTGTCAAGAAGAACAGCGATTCTGCTGCCATTGAGGCAGTACAAGCCAAGTGCAAGCAGTCTTTCCCGCTGGCTCAGGCTTCGTCGTTCGCCTAGAACAGCCCCGACGGTAATGGAGCTGGGCGGGGTTGGCGAGGTTATGCACTCGCATCACCCTCCATATCCATTCTTCGATCTTGGCTAAATTGCAGCGTTCATGAAGGGCATTGTGTATTCATGGAGATTGGCGTCTCTTCAGGAACTGAATACATACACGTTCATCCATCCATGACGCACTTTCGCTGCTGACCGGGATGAGTGCGACTCGGGACGAGCCGCGCTTCCGGTGGTTCGATCACGGGCCTGAAGCCCAATGTTCTGCAGGCCGCATGATCATCCCAAGCATGCGAATGTTTCTTACACTTTACTCAGGGGGGAATGGGACACTTGCCCACAACCCATTCGTCAGCGTAGTATGCGATGGCATGCGTCTAACTATGCCATAAGAAATAGAACAGATCACTTTGGCAGCCTCCGAGTGAAGACCACCGGGCGCAGTGCAGCGATGCGGAAATCGAGGGTGATGTGTTTGGCCATGATTGCCATGATTGCAATGAGTGGGTGGGTGTATTCAGGTTCCAGAAACAAAATATATGTCCTGGTTAAAAACGGGGGGGGGGATGTCGCATTTCATTTTGGAAACGCTGTATTGTGCGCATGTTCGACGATTTGCACAGCCCCGTGCAAAGCGCGATTTTCTCGACATCCGAAAGTAAAACAGGGCGCCTCCATTTCATTTTTGCGAGCGCTGCCAGGCAGATGAGCTGGCAAGGTTGTATTGACGCGAGGTGGAATGCACAGCTGTTCAAGATGGCGCATCGTTGGCGCATCGTCGGCGCGGAATGGCGCCGGAATCAAGGCGCTCACATCGGCGAGGCTTAATCGGCAATGTCAGTGATTGCAGGGCATACAACGGTGATATCTCCGCTCATCGAGGCAGAGGGCCTGGTGCTGTGAATATGGGTCCAGGGTGCTGCACCGACAATGCGAATGTCGACGGGGCTCTTGTCCATGTTTGGTATGATTCGGATGGGAATGCGCTCAAACATGCCGACTTTTTGCACGTAGATCCGGCTCTGATCGATCTCCTGTTTGTACGATCGATCTGCGGCGAGTTTCGATAGCATATCGGAGTAATCTTCGTGGGACACGGTCTCGTCGACAGCCGGTGCGCCGGTGGCATCCCGGATCCAAAAAATGTACAAAGCCAAACCTTGTCCGTCGTAATGGCTTCCAAGCGCCAGGCCCTCATCCACCAAGTCCTCCACATAAACACGCTTCTCAAGGCCGTATTTCTCAACGATGACATCGAAGCTTCGGCTGGCAACGTTGTAAACCAGAGCGGGCTCGGTGATGCTGTCATTCCCATCAGATTCAAGTCTCTTGGCAAGGAGAGCACAGAGAAAGAGCCGCTGCGAGGCATCTTGTGCATTCTTAGAGTTATCCTTTCTCAGGTTGCATTGTTTAGCAATCGCTTCGATACTCTTGAGACTGTAAGGGTTCGGCTCTTTTCGGAGAACAAAGTCCAGGGTACGGTGGACAACCAGATCGCAATATCGCCTGGAAGAATTGTACAAGTGCCGTTGGCGTGAATGTGCGGAAGCATGAGCAATCGCATTCAGGATTGCGCATCCAGGATTGCGCATTCAGGATTGCGCATTCAGGATGACGCATTCAGGATTCCAATCAGGATCGCAGTGTGCTGCTCCTAATTCTCATCGGATCGGTCGTGGCGACTCAGCAGAGTCGCGCAACTTATCAACCAAAGCGGCATGACAGCGCCGTCTTCTGCCAATCACTCTGGCTGTAGCCAATGCGAGGATCCGCCGGGTACTCAACAGCGCTGTATGAAAGTGGACTGTGATAAGTCACATCCCTCACCTGATTGGGCTTGTAAAGTGCGTATACAGGGGCACGTTCAGAGCATAATGGTGGAAATAGGACAAATCAACTGATCCGGTACAAAAGTATTTTGCTCGTTGCATTGGCTTGATGCAGAGCAGGCGAAGGACCTGCCGAATCTCGTTGTTCTCGATAGCATCGAAAGATGCCTGCAGCGTGGAGCTGGTCTCGGGATTGATCTCGAAGCCCAGCTTAGCAGCCAATTCGATAAAGGTCACCATCGATCCTTTCGAGGGCGGTGAGTGCTGGCGGAGTAGCGAAGCTTTTGGGAAAGTCTGCGAGATCTTCTTTGCAACGGACATATTGGCGAGGAGCATGAACTATGAAAAGAACGACAGGTTCACAGGGAGGTTACAGGAGTTACTAGGCGATAGCGGCATCGCATCCTCGTCAATCACAGATTCCACAAAGTGAGCCACAACGACGATGGGCGCTGATCGGGGCCAACGGAAAGAAGGTGCAAGGAAGCACGGGTGTCTCTCAATGTCGAGCGGGGGGCTTACCTCTTCTATGAGCTTGTTGGCCTCCTTGATCATATAGACACCTGTGTCGGTGGGGTTTTGGTCTTCATCCAAGGCAAACCAAAGCTTGATCGAGTTGATGGCTAATGCACCGTCCTCAAAGCGTCGCTTACGCAACTCTTTGCTGATTTGATACAGAATGAGGATGTCGTGTTTGAGATCACCAAAAGTGTAACCATTTGAGATTTGCACTGCTGGCAAGCCGTTCCAATCGTCCTTCCCTTCGATTATGGCTTGTGCGTGGTCATAGCTAAGCTTGGCACATGATTTGATAATCGAGCGCCCAAACCATGGGTTGCCTTGGATGTTTCCATTCCGATCCATCTCCCAGACGACTGAGAAGGCAAGGCGCTCGACTCCAGGATTAAGACTGCAGAGTTCTTCGCAAAGAAGGCGTGGCAGCATTGGGATCGCATTTTGCACCAAATAGACGGTGGTGGCACGATTATAGGCCTCCACGTCGAGAGCCGAGTCTTGCGGCACAAAGTACGACACGTCGGCAATGTGAACGCCGACTTCGAGATTGCCGTTTTCGAGCTCGACACACGAAACCGCGTCGTCCAAATCGCGAGCTGTTTGAGGGTCGATGGTAAAGATACGAGTGCTTCGGAAGTCACGTCGCGATTCATATTCTTGTGCCGGGATATGCCACGGCTAGGTGAAGTCGTTTCGTAGACGAATGTTACCGGTCACATTCCACAAACTGACATTGTTGGTGCTTCGCACGTACGATCGACTGCAACCCGGTCACCTACCACATCAGGGAGACACTGAAGTACGCTCTCGGAAAAGTCCTTCCAGGCGATTCCATTGTCAATCAAGAGTGCCTCTGTTTCGATCGGAATCTCGCCGATTTGACCAATAGTGCCCATGATGCTTCCAAACGGGAAGTTGTCGGACGCCCTCCACTTGTATATCCCAGCCTTGAACAGTATGGATGAAAAAGCATCGGGATCTTGGAAGAATTCTTTGGGCACACCATTCTCAACTGGGATCATCATATAAGGTGCACGCTTGTCGGTCTACCCGGAGGGTTAGAAAGTGAGCAAAAGATCAGCGACTGGCCTCGATCAGTGTCGGATCGCTCGATAAAGTGTCTGCTGTTCTTCAACCGAGAGTCGACCAGCTGTACATCGCTCCTCAATGCAATCGCCATTTCCGCCAGCTGGAGAGAACAACCCTCCGTATCCTTTCCCCGCCAGTGAGGGATATTCGCTGTGCTGACACCTACAGGTTTAAACCATATGAATCGCAAAGGGCGGCCTTCTCTACGCTTTGGCTCAGCCGAGCCATTGTTGATATCCAAATGAAGTGTACCGCTGAAGTATTGATTGGGCCGACGGTCCATAATGTACACGACTTTTCCCAACGGGCGATCTATATCTGGATGAGCAAGCACGGAGCGTCGGTGATCTCATCAGCTTTCTTCACCATTTCCAATGATCAGTGGCCTCGACGATTGGGGCTGCTATTGCAGTCGGCTTCGGATCGAGCCCCAGGTTGGTTGGCTCTCCGCGCCGTCGAGCGCGCGATTGTCCCGGCGATGTGTAGATACCGATTCTGCGACATCACAAGTTCGTTGCGCCAGTACCCACCTTCAACTTCTTCGTTGTTTGCATCACCCGAAAAGACATCGACCTTTTTCTGGCGAGTTTCTCCATCCATTTTTCTCTTTCGAACAAACTGCAGCTCGCGTGATTTCTCTGCGGTCAGCTCCTTTCCTTCCAAAAGCCTAACAGCCACCATGTCCCCTTCGAGCGAGCGGTTGCGCGATATTTGCCCGCAAATCATGACATCATCATCCATGCCCTGAACAGTGACGTATGCATTGGAGCGATTGACTTTGTTGATCCGAATCGAGCCAGAAACAAGCTTTCCGGAACGAAGGCCTTCTTGGAGCTCGCTACTGGTGATGTACCTTCGGCCAGAAGATGCGACATGAGCATATGCGGTTAGTCTTGGGCAGTACGCTTATCCATTCAGATGTACTCGCTATGATCTCGTCATTATCCAGCAGCTACGGCGCAGGTCCTTCGTGGGACGTGCTTGACTTACTCCTCGTAGAAAAGCCGGCGCTCAGTCGGGGTTGAATTGCTGGCGCTTTCGCCCGACTCATCATTTTTCGCAGCGACAGCATTTGCAGACTGTCCTCGGACGGGAGTTGCAGAATTGGGGCGCGATTGTGGGTTGGATCCAAGCGGAGACGCATTGTCGATTTTCTTGGCATGGTTGCCGCGATCAGACCCGTTTCCAGCATGCAATTGTCCTCCAGCGCCCTCTTCAGCTTGCTTTACTCGGGCTCGACGATTTGATCGAGCGGCTCGTCCATCGCTTCGAGGGGCGGTGGCAATGCTGTCGCTCCGAGACCCAATTGGCTGCTGATCTTGTCCACGCTCACCAGAGTTGACAGTCGTGCTGGAATCTGCGCTAGCTTGCGGACGCTCGGCAGAAAGGGCGTGTTTCGGAGACTTGGAGGTCTTTGGGTACCGTTGCGGTGCAGCACTTGAACTGGCCTTGGCCTGGCGCTCTGATCCGACACCACCGGAAGGTGTGCTTGCAAAGGTAGAAATCTCGTCCTCGATCGCGGTCGCTGAGGCTGTTGGCACAGCAGACGGTCGGTTCCTTTTGGGCCCAGCTCTAGATTGGCGCGTCGGTGTGGGTGTCGGGGGAAGGGCGTGCTCGAGATCTTTGAAGTCATAGATATCGCTGCCATCTTCCGTCACCTCGGGAGGAGATGAATGCGCAGTGCTACCGGAAGGATCGCCATCGGGGCGGCTCGCGGATATATGACCGCCCTCAATTGAAGACTTGGGTCGACGCTTTTGTCGTGCCCGGCGCGATTTATGCGGACCCGGCTCGCTTGTGGTAGCTTCTCCTGCAAGATGATGGACATATTAAGCAGCGTCAATGTTGATCAAAATAGACGATAGAGATGGTGCGGGAAACGGAAACAGGATGCTGGACTCAGTGTCCACATGAGAAGATTCAGATTTAAGATTTGGAACAGACTGAGCAATGCTCAGAGCGCTCTGCTCGGACGCTACCGGACCGAATCTGGGCTTTCGGAGCTGACACGGAGACGTTACCGGAAATGGTGGCGGCAGAGGCGGACGCACCTACGTCGGCCGGTTGTTCTTCCGCCTCGCCTGGGCCCTGGGGCGACGTACTGGACGGGTGCCTTGGATTGTCACGGTTGGACAGCTCTTGCGAAGAGCGATTCGAAGTCTGTGTGGATTTTGTCGATTTTGACTGACGTGGCATGAGCCAATATATCGTTGGAAAATATGCATTCATTGAGCTGGCCAACAGCTCTCACTCATACCCTCACTGCCTTGCGCTGCTGACAAGACTTACTCCAATCTGATCAGCGATAGGAAGCGGCTCTGCAGGGACAGCGCCATCGGCAAGCTCCGTGTCGTCGTGGTGACGAGATCGCCGTGGACGACGCCGTCGCTGAGGAGATGCTGAAGGAGCGAGAGAAGTACTAGAGGCCTCAGAGGGAATAGAGAGGCCTCCCTCTTCGATGACCTTGGGGTCAAGGGCGGGTCCGTATGATCCTGGGTGCTGGGCCCGGACAAACTCCACCTTCTTGGTAAGAATGCTGGATTTGGACCGGCGTGGTCTGGTGCGCGGGGGGCTGGCCGTTGACATGGGCTACTGAACGATGAAGTCACACCGAGCGGTCAATGAGGGAAGAGAAAGGAATGGAGTAGTAGACGGGGGCGATTTGGACAGGCTGTGATGTCTTGCGGGTGTGGGTGCGGGTGGGCTGGGCCAGATCGATCGAGCCAGAGACGACGGGCCGATCGGGGCTGCCGCAGAGTTGGGCCGTCATGTGGGTGTCACGACGGGACTGCGCCGCTGCTGTCCCAGCCCGCCACCACATCGCATTCCAGGAAATTACAGGCAATCCAATAAAAAAGGACACCCGGGTTTTTGACCATTCATCGAATATTTTGTTACCCAATGTTATCGCGCGCTGGCCATGACCATTCGCCACACATCCGACTTTCGCACCGCCGCATTGCGATGCTACGCCCTCATCCATAGCCTGCGTAAGGTCGCCACCATATTCAATGTGTCCAAAAGCACCATCCATCGATGGCACCGAGGATGCAAGCTGGATGACCCATCCCGGGTCCCAGCTCGCAGATCCACTTTCTTCGAGCAGGCATGTCCAGTCATTCGCACCCTGATTGAACAGGACCGTTCCAGACTGGTCCTGTGTTGCGATGCAAGCTCGAGTCCATCCTCCAGAGGAAAGTTTCACTCTCACTCTGCCACACTGCCATCCACCGAGCAGGTCTCTCGCACAAGAGGGCAACACACCTCTACAAGTCCAAGCGACTGGATGAGCGAGTGGCACAGTTCAGGGACCAGGCCCGCTCCATCGACCCACGACGGCTCGTTTTTGTCGACGAGACAGGGATCAGGAGATCCATTTTCCCTCTCTACGGATACTCGCCGAAGGGTGCTCCGCTTCGCCAGCTCAATCACATGAAGCACAAGTCTGTCTCGGCTGCATTTGCCATCAACCACTCTGGTGTGCTGCATCGCATGTACATCCCCACATCATTCAAGACACTCGATGGTCGAGTTCTTTGAGCGAGCGAGCTTCCCAGACGACTCTGTGATTGTGATGGACAATGTCAGCATGCACAAGACAATGGCTGTCCTGGACTACATCGAGCGCCGAGGATGGTCAGTGATCTTCACCCCACCTGCCTCGCCCGACTTCAATCCCATCGAGAACTTCTTTGGGGTTGAGTCCCCACCGATTTGGGGTTGAGTTCCTCCAATTTGGGGTTGAGCTCCCCAATCACGCCGCCATTTTCGCTTTCACATCCCTGGCTTGAACCTCTCGGCGATTTTTGAACAGGTCGCTTCCCCAACCAGCCCGCAAAGACGGGTTCCTGCTCTCGGGTATAAATGCCACACCTTCGTCCTGCTGCTTTCTTCCCTCATCTCGCCTTGATCTGATCATCGCGCTATTGTACGATAAAAAAGTCTCTGCTCTGACCAGTACCACTGGCAGGCATCCAGCATCCTCTGTCCCCATGCCTCCGAAGCGCAAGGGTGCCGGTGATGGCCAGCCTCGGCCACCCAGGCCCAAGAAAGCCAAGTCACAGTCGGAGCCTGTCTCTGGTTCGTCTTCTGACCCCACGCATGCTTGGTCGTCTGTTGCTCCGTCGCTCACCACCACTGCTTCTGCAGATCCAATGGATGTCGATCCCACCGAGCCTGGTCCATCTACTTCCTCGAGTACCGGCAAGCGATGTCGCCAGTGCGATGGCACCGATCACGAACGTTGCAACACCAGCAAGTGTCCAAAATACCGGCCCCTCAAGAGTTCTGTCGTCCCTCTCGTGGATGGAAGGTCATCCGCCCCTCAGTTCAGCTGCTTCAAGCAGACGATGGATGGCTGTTGTCTCAATCCCGCTCTCCGCGACAAGATCCAGGCCACCGTCGAGGCCATGACCCAGATCCAGTTCGAGGCATCCAGGCTGCTCAACCTGCACATCCTCCGGTGCATCGAGCAGGATCTTCCCGTCCCCGTCATCTCCAAGTCCACCCCTGCTTTCATCCGCCAATGCTTCACGATTGTCGAGGCCGATGCCCTCTCGCCGACCGGGGACAATGAGAAATACAACGAGCATCTGGTCGCTTCCTTTCGCGACTACCAGACCACTCGGCACGCAGACCTGCCTCCGGCCCCTCGTCTGCCTGATGGTGCTCACAGTCAGCTTCTCACACTGGCTGTCAATGCCTATGCCACCAACTGCACCACCCACCTCGACCTGGCCTACTGGCGACTTCTTCGCCGCTTCTGTGCTGCCGTCTTCCCTGCCAACAAGCATAAGCACGACGCCATCGAGGCTTGTCTCGAGCTCTTCGAGAAACCGGACTCGACTCCACCCAAGGCCGATCTCGAGTTCCTCTATCCCGAGTTTGGCCACGTCCTGGACGAGTTTCGGTACAGCAACGACCAGGACCGCTTCCGGGCCCTCCATCGCCTCTCACACCATGTGAGAATCCTCGCCCGAGACAAGATGGTCGACAATGTCCACAAGTGGATCGACTGTGACATGCCCGCCCTCCGAGTCACCGAGCTGCAGCGCCAGGCCAAGCTGGACAAGCTCACTACCCAAGGCATTCCCTCCGACGACAAGAGGTTCACCACGGCCAAGTCGGAGCTCGGCACCACCAAGTCCAAGATCAACAGGCTGGCATCCAGGATCAAGTGGGCACTCAAGCAGCTCGCTCTTGACACTCCTCCGGCCGTGTGCACGATGGTTCCTCTATGCACTGCAAGGGCCAAGTACATCAAGATTGACACCGTCACTCTCTGGCAACTCCTTGACACCGAACATCGTCTTGGACTCACCAGGGACATGCTCAAGGAAGAAGGTGAGGACGGTGTCAACAACCAGGATCGTCTCTGGCGCAGTTGCTTCAAGCTGCGTAGTTCCCTCTTCCAAGAGCGGGACGTGAACAAGAAGCTGTTCAACTACGAGATCAGCACCGATGGCATTGGATGCACCATCGGTCTCGTCAAGTTTGTGCCTCGAACCGATCACACCGAGACCATCGAGCCTCCTCCGACTGCCGAGCAGCGCATCCAGGCCCACATCGGCGACCCAGACCCCGATCGCACCACTTGGATTGGCATCGATCCTGGAGTCGGCTCCATCTTCACGGCGGTCATCCAAGCACCGGGCCACCAAGACGAGGTGGTCTCGTTCTCCAATGGCCACTACCAGCACATGTGTGGCCATACGTCCAACACCAAGTGGTACACTATCATGAAGTATCGACTCGGCATCGAGACCTGGATGTCAACCACTCCCTCGCCCAAGGTGTCATCCTCGGAGGCCTTCAAGGTCCATCTCACCCATGTCCTGCGACCGGAGCTGCGAGTGCAGCTCGACTTCCACCTTGGCAAGAAGGCCCGTCACCATCGCTTCACGGGCCACAAGAGGCGCCAAGTGGCCGTCGACAGGATGTGCAAGGCCGTCCTGAAGCACGCCCCGAGGGAGAATGATGTGGTGATCGCCTTTGGCAATGCATCATGGCGTCAAGGCAAGGGCTATGCATCCAGCCCTCGGAGGCAGCGGTTTGCTCGGTACTTTGAGCAATTCGAGCACCACCGCCGCCGTCCCAATCACCATCATGGAAGCGTCAAGGTGGCCTCGACGAACGAGTTCAACACCTCGCAAGTGTGCTCCAAGTGCCTGGAGCCAGTTCGGTTGGAAGGACTCGATGCGCCCAGTGTTGCGAATTCCCACTTTGTCAGGAGCTGCAAGAATCCCAGCTGCCGGACAGTGTGGAATCGCGACGTCAATGCGGCGCGCAACATGATCGCAGTGTGCAGGTCGATTGTGGAGATCGGAGAGCGACCGGCGGTCTTCACTCGGAGGCTGCCAAAGTGATCTGTTTTATTTCTTGTGGCTTTGCTTGACGCAAGCACAGCACATACTACATGTTCATGGAAACGGCTATATTGTCCCGTTTTTTTCTGAATAAAGTGTACCGCTGCATTGGCCGATCGCCGCTCATCCAGACCGACCTGCGGGAGCCATGAGCATCCAGGGCTGATGGAAGCTCCACCCAAAGCGCGCTTGCCAGCGACTGATGACCGATGCGGTCAAGTAGAGCCACAGTGAAATCTCATTGATAAACCGCTCATATGCGTGCTATATGAACATTCAAGAATAGCGTGTGACATGATGCTCCTCTCTTGGCAGAATCTCGGTGTCGGATGTATCAAGACAAAGACGTCAGCCCCTGGTCTAGTCCTCCCGACGCCGCCCCGACTTGGCGTGGTTGCCAAATGTGTGCTCGCCGTCCCTCTTCCGCTTTACGGAGGAGGCATGCGAGGAGCGCCCGAAGGAGCTTCTGGTACCATTATCGTGGGGTTTGGAGAGGACCGTGGTGCGACTAGCTCGACACTGTTCCGCCTCATCGCTTGTTGCATCTCGAATGCTCCCATCCGGGGCGCTCGCCGTAGTAAGGAGAGCACTTTTGACCGCTTCAACTTGGTCAACAGGCACCAGCACCGTCAGAGCCTCGCCTGCGGGATGCCGATAGACCCAACCAGGGGAGAATCCACAGCTGGTTTTGATTGCGTGCTTGAGTGAGGTCAGAAGCGGACCATAACGGATATCACAGATACGACCAGAACGAGGTCCAAGCGGCGAACGAGAAGAAGACATCAATGATGAATGAACTATAAAATGGGCCTGTTGTAGTTGCTGGCCTGTACCGCCGCTATCTGGGCTCTCTGCCAACTTACCTTGACCTCCTTAACATCAAAGTCGCCGAATCCAATCAGAGTCAGGGCATGCTCATCTTTTTGCTGCCCCTGATTTCTTCCAGCACCTCCGCCGCTGCGGTTCAGTCTCTTTGCATCAGACCATCGCTTTCGCTCGTGGGTGTTGTCGATGGCATTTTGATGCTCTTCTTGGCTGGCCACGCGGACAAAGACTTGCGTGTTGGCGATGCCATGCTCTGCCGGAAGCAGGCCAGGACCGCCAAGCGCCTTGACGGCTGTTGAGGCTGACGATTGGCTCTCCAATACCGCATATGCAAACTTGTCACCCATGTTGAACACCACCGATCGGACTGAGGCTCCGGCTCGGGAAAGGATATCCTGGTCAAGAAAGACGAGTTTGGTGAGAGTTGGCTCAGCGACCGGACAGGGTGTGGCTCTGTCGAGTTGATGCCGAGTAGTGCGATTCCAAGAGCAGGGCCATTCCGCTAATCCGCATGCACATTCAACGAGTCGGGCAGAGACGTCGTGCATTGGTCCAAACAGTAATGGATTCCACTCAATTGCATTTTGCCAGAAGTGCTCGGCCAGATCTCACTGTCCCTGTGCCCATGTCTGGGCTTGACATGGCGGACATTGGCGACAATAGCGAGCCAAGGCGCCCAACCAACCTTGATATCTTCCGAAAGAACGAGCGAGCCAAGTTCGCCAAAGTAAATAACGGAATCGAGTTCATGACCATTGGGCCGCTGGGCCTGGGTTTCTTCACGAGGTCTAGGGTTTCGGTATACAAATGCAACAACCAGGCGGTAAGTGCCGAGGCAGGGCCAGAGTCTGCGTTCGGAATGGTCCCGCCGAGCACAGGGCTGGCCATGAGAGTTAGAGCCAGGCCCCCTGAATCCTTGCTGGGCATCGATGCTTACACATGAGCAGACACCACTAGCTTGCGGTTGTAAGCAATTTCGGATCCAATCGCCGCCTTGGCGGAAGCCTCGTTCTGGTATTCAACTACAGCTGCGCCCTGGGTATGAGATGATAATCATGCCAGATAAGCCCGAGCGGCGCCTTTGTCGCTCGCTTATCCATCGCAGCAACCAATAGCGACTACGGCCATGGCGAGCCTCAACCCACTTTGAACCGCTTGGATGCATCGCGGATCAGACGAATGAAGGCAATCGGGCCGAATTGCGACATCAAGTTCTCGATCTCTTCCATGGGATTATCAAGACTGCCGTCCAGGCCGCGCTGAAGATGGCGCAGAATCAAATCAGTCGAGTGCGTACAAAAATATTGCTGATACCAGCTGAAATCGGAGGTAGTAGGGATGCAAGCTTAGGACCTGCTTGAACACGATAGAAAGAATTGTACCGAAGCATCGCTGCGAAAGGTCGCCGATGATGGCGCACCGATGAAGAGGAAATGCCACTGAAACGAACCAAGGTACCGCCGATGACCCACCAAAAACACCGAAGCATTGACTGAGTTCTTCATGGCTTCCTCCGCGACAAACTCGGCAACACGCCGGACGGAGCGATGGTCGCTGTTGAGCTCGAGGACGGTGCAAGTGGCAAGGACTTCAGCGACGAGGCCTTCATCGTTGGTCAGGCTCTCCATGCGCTTGAATGACATGATGAGGCTGATTGGCACCCCTAGGTTGTACATGGCAGACGTTCGATGGGGTTCAGCCAGCTGCAGGACGACAGTTGGGCCACCCGAGCTGGGCGACGATCCGCTGCAAATGATCTCGTTGGCATCGAGCCCATTGCACAGGCCTCGATGCTTGCCTTCATTGCCAGCAGATAGACTTACATCCTCCCTCTGCCTCCTCGATCTTTGCCCTCATAAATCGATCTGAGAGCAGGTTCCGATCTGCAACAGACGCCGCAGTCAGCATCAAGCAGCGGAGTAAGGCTCCAGTCCAAGGCTCCTTGCATGATATCCAGGTTGCCGAGATATTCAGAAGCAGCTCGACAGTGCCGAACACAGACAAAGACCAGCGAGGACCTACCGCTAAAGTAAAACTCGATTTGCCTTTGGATCTTCTGTTTGAGCTGATGAACGGGATCGAAAGCTGGGGGCACGCTGTCGTCGATCGTCTGATCTCGTTGCTTCTCCAGCCGCGCTGCAGGGCAGATCACCTCCGAGGGAGCCACAGTGTCGGCAACAGGGCTCGAGGCAGTTGGCTCTGCAGCAGCAGCAATCAGAGCGTCGGCAGGGGCGGGTTCAGCCATGATCGATGGCGCTTGTTTGAGAGAGTGGGAGCGAACAAGTGCGAGCACCAGATCGACAGAGTGCACTGCGGGCAACCAGATCCGGCGACGGGGCCGAAAAAATTGGTCGCCAGGAGCCGGCCCACTGCGAGGTTGCACAGACGCTGGGGTGGCGGAGCAGTGGCTCGGGTGGCTCATTGGCTGGACATGGGCTGCGCGTGCGCAGCCAGGGCAAGGGCTGCGGCCTGGGCGGCCCTGGTCTGACGACAAGGACGCCGTGATGAGCCGAGGCTCTTGGGTGCTCTTGGATGCTCGATGCCGGTCGCCCACACACTGGATCGCCCTTGGGGACGACCGCCGTCATGGAGATTGCATTCTCGGATCAGCAGTCCATCCGCCCTTCGTTCGTTCTGGACTCGGGGCAATGTGTTCACCTCTCGGATCCTCATGTCTCAGTGCAGCGTCATTCCGGCCAGTCGAATCCCAGGCAACTTGGTTCGGCGGACTCGTCGGAACCTGGCTCCGGTCCGGTCGTCGATGGCCTTTACGACGATCTCCTATATATTTCCAAGGATCATTCTCGGCCCCCAGTCGTGGTGTGGACTCGCTCGGGCATCATCAAGCAGACCCTGACCCTGGACACCCCAAGATCCGATCCGTTGCCTCAGCCGCTGGCTTCGCAGGCAGCGATCGCATTCGAGCCAGATCTGGATCTGGAGCAACACCATGATTTCAATCGCGATCAAGACGGCGATCAACACCAAGCCAGAGATCAGGAAAACATCGCTCGATTTCATCTGTCGAGAAGGGACGATTCTTCCAGCGCCCGTGATTCTTTATCGAGCTCTGGTGCCTCGACTGCAGTTCAGGCCGCTTGGGTCTACTTTCCGGCCGACACCTCTCCAGCCAAGGATTCACATCAAGATTCATCCGATTCTCTGATCAAGGCACTCTGCGTTTTGTTTCCAGAGTATTTGCAGATACAGTATCTCTGTGGTCGGCAGTACGTCACTCCTCTGCCTTTTGCCATGCAACGGCTTTGGCCTCTCGGTTGCGGAGTTTTACTCGAGCGCAAGGAAGCAGCATCCGGCGAGTCGCTACTAGGATCCTCATCCCTGTATATTCTTGAGCATCCTTTGGATAGTTTGCGCGCTGTCTCCATCAGCGAACAACCATATCCTATTCTCAGTCTGTCGGCCCACCGATCGGCCCACCACCAAGATGGGGGCTGTGCTGATCCTATGCCCACGGGCTCCACCTGGACTGGGCAGCCTGAATCAACCCCATCCGAAACCATGCTGAGAATGTCCGACTCGCTGGCCTCCATTGTCGGGCAGAGGATCGTGCATATCTACATCGATGGCCCAAGACATTCAGGGTCCGGTTCCAAGATATTGTTGACTTCCCACTCGCCGACGACGATGAGATATTACATATGGAGCCTTGTCTCGTCAACGGCTGGACCAGAAGAAGCAGTCGCTCCGACCTTTGTTCATATGAGCACTGCACCTTCAACAACTGCAGCGGAGAAAGATAATGGAAGCACGGCACACAATCCAAAACTGGATAACCAGCGGTGCAGTAATCGAGCCTCACCCGCGACAGTCCTTGATCGCCCTTCACAATTTCGACTCCTATGCATATCATGTGTAACGCACAGGTGAGTAGGTGTGGATCTAAGGTCGCAACTGATGGCGCACAGTGACCGCAACGATCCGCAGAGGACGTGTGGCCGTCTGGTTTTGGTGTGAGTCTGGTGTGAGTCTGGTGTGAGTCTAGTGTGGGTCTGGTGTGCGCCTATCGATGACCGGTGCTGAGCTCATCATTTTATTTTGCGATTGCTCCATAATTCTGAACCATCCATATCTTGGCCGATCTGCCTGTACTTTGCGCAGTTCCGTGTACTCTCCCTCCCAACTCCCATTCCTCACGACTACGCCGGTCTCAGGGTACTATTTATGGTGGATCATGAACAGCCAGCGACAACAGCTTTGCTGTTTGCCGCTAAGTGTCGATGCACCGATACACAATTCTGTGGACGGGAGTGTACCAGAGTTTGGAGCACGCCGCTCCTATCGGGCCCTCACCGCCGTTCCAGTCACGGCAACAAGATTAGGCGACCAGGATGTCCTGATTCTCCAGCCCGACAACACTCTCGCACTTTGGTGCGGCCTCGAGGATCCGATTCCATGCACAATGCCTCGCAATTTCCAGCGCCGTGCTTCAGAGACCTTTCCGTCTTTCGTCTCGACCAAGCGACGTCGCTCATCGTCGACTGAGGATCCCCCTCAAGCCACGAGCCAAGCCGCGAGTCAAGCCCCAAATCACGGCACCGGGCCATTGCCGGAAACACTTCGTTCCCCCTCGAAAGAATCCCGAGTTTGCGATCTGCGCCTTGTCTTGGGCAATCGAGTAGATGTAGTCTTATCGGACGGAAACTCTGTGCGAATCGCACTCCAGTTTTGCTCCGAGGAGCCTCTTGTCAAACAGTGTATAGCTGCCTTGCGAACGGTCCTACCTGCCAGGTCGCTGACACCCTTCTTGAGGCGGCATCTACTCTGCCAACACTCGCTTCAGTATGAGGAGGAACTGAGCTACGGACTGACTCCATGGGAGCGCTTTTTGATTGTGCTTTTCTCTTTTTTACATGGACCCGCCCCAACGGTAACGATCGTGGGGGATTGTGCTAACAAGCATGGCTCAACAGCAAGCTCACAACCCTTTCAGGAGCTACTCAATCGGCAGCCTGTTGATTTCGGATGCCCCGAATATGAATGCTTGAATGCGAGTGCCGACTGCCGTCCGAGCACAACTCTTTCCATCAGCAGTCGCCTTGAGTATCTTTACACCATATCGTTGCGGTTGAAAAGTCGTTTCTATCCCTTGGAGCCGGACATCACCGGAGACGGCCCCCTGATTTTGCTCACTTTGCATTTGGTGTACGAGGATCTCAAACTCAATACCCTGCGGGAGCAGGCTCGTGGTCACTTGGGCGCTGCTCTCTGCGTGCTGGCTCACCGAATCCAATGGAAATCATACGTCGACTACTACCGCCGTGACGGCGTCTTTCACTCCGATGTTTTTAAAGGTTCGCTATTGCCCGCCCATGTACGTGCACATGTATTGTTCTGTCGTCTCCGTCATCAGACTCATGGCCGTACTATGATTATACTGGCGACATGATCGCCTCTACCATCGATCCTACCCTTGGAAATCTAGGGTCAGCCCGACCAGAGTCCCTTCATCAATCCCTCCAAATCTTGATACATGCTGCGCCCAACATCTTCGAATGGCTTTCTGATAGCGTTGCTGGCAAGGAAGTCAAACCTTTTCTGGATCTGGGGCAACTCTCAGAAGTTGTGCAGCGCAACCAGGATGCAGCTGTCTCAAAGATAGCCACCGGTTTCTACGACCCTGCTGAGGCCGTTTTCTCAGTCCTCAAATCGAGTCTTGATTGCAACTTGGCATGCGCACAAACCACCCGAATCGTCTGTTTTTACAAGGTTATCTCGGATCCAGACTTTGACCGGCATCCAGAGGCCCTGATAGCCGCAATGAGTCTGTGTCGGTTTCAGCATGCGGATTTGCTGCTACTTCCAGAAGGTGTCGCTATTCCACTGCGCGAAGCCCTCTTCCGCATCCGAAGCACGCCGCCTTCAGAACAAATCACTCGCACCTGGCCCATGGAGGCCTTCAAACTGATCGGTGGGTTTGCGACTTTCTTTTTTGCACTGCATTCACATTCCCAATGTGGCGATGACTCGGCCTGTTCAGAAACTTTGCTGCTGACGATATATCGAAAACTGATCCGAAATCAAGGTCGCGAAGATCTTGCCGAACAGAGGGCTACCATCAAAAATCTCCTCAAAGCACGATGCTTTTCGCTGAAGCGATCATCCAATTCGGTATGAGTGTATGATCAGAGAGAATCGCTACGAGAGCATATTTTCGAGAATCAGCATCTCGCCTCCAGTACTTTGGGGTGTTGCAGAAGACGCGGAATTGGCAGTACTGGGCAGCCCTTAATCAAGCACTGTTGCTCCGAGCCGATGGCGCGCAAATGAGCATTTCAGTGGATCGATCCAAAGAAGGATGGTGATTCCCGGAAGCCTTGCATTCGACCATGGCGCGCTTCTGGCCGAAGCAAGCGGATCGAGAGTCGGGGGCGGTATGTTCACAACAGCTTACCAAATGCCTTGGTTCCGGCGCCCAGGCTTCTGAGGGCGCAACGCACAGCAAGATGGATACAAGCATCGTCTCTCGACTCAGATTTATGATTGATGATCGAATCAAAGATGTCCAGGACATGCTTGGGGTCAATCCGAGGCCTTGTGAAATGGATATCCATATTGATGGGGAAATGAGGTTTGTGTCTGTTCCGACTGACATGGTTGTGCCGACGACGAGTCTAGCATCTGGCGCGCATGCCAGCCAATACTTTGGATACCGGTGTTGTATAGACTACTTACCAAGATCTCTTCGTGATCGGTCCAAGCGAGCACGACATTGCGATCGAGCAACAGTCTCGCCTGATGATCCTCGCCAATCGGGTTCTCTCGCTCCCATTCGGACGAGCGGCTTTGATGTTCAAGTCAACGCCATTTCACTCTAACAGCCAAATCAAGTCGTTGAGGCCGATTTCCATATCAGCCAAGATGCCGCCTGTGGGCTCGGTTGTGACTTTAGACCTGACTCAGTGTCTACCTGATTTTCTGGAAGGACCGGAATTTCACGAAGGTGTTGCAGATGGACTTTGCGTTGATGCAAACGAGAGCGAGCTCGATGGCGCGTGGATTGCCTTCAACAAGCCCGACGATCTCGACCCACATCATGCCGGATTCCTATTTTCGATGGGGCTTCTTGGTCATCTCCGAAATCTGGTTCAATGGCGCGGCTTCCACTATCTCACCCCAAAGCACCCAAGCACAGTAATGGCCTATCTCCTAGGACTTGGGGCGGCCCACGTTTCCACCTGCGAAGAGCAAGTTGCTCGTATACTCTCCGTTCACATCCCTGGCCTGCTCCCTCCAAGCTCTCTTGAACTCCAGATTGCACCTATCAATCAGGCTGCTGCGACGTTTTCTCTCGGCCTCGTATACATGAGTAGCATGCACAATGTCATGGCCAAGTCCATGCTCGATGAGATGCAGAGCCACACTCGCTCCGACACAGACTCGGCCGACTCTTGCCAAGAGAACCTGGCTCTGTGTGCTGGATTTGCCTTCGGCATGATCACGCTCGGTCACGGCAGCAAAATCGGCGGCATCGATAGTGGGAAGGCTGTTCAACGGCTCGTTGCGATGCTGGAATCAAGCACCAGTCAAGAAACGTCCTTACATGGTCAAGTCTGGTATCGCAGATCATACAGCGGCGGCAACTTTGCGACACCCGAGCGCTCGAGTCGAAGCACGGCCTGGTTGACTTCAAGTGTTTCCCCCGATGTCGTTGCACCCGCTGCAGCTGTGGCGCTCGGACTGGCTTTTTTGAAGACAAACAACCGACAAATCGCCAACCGATTGGCCATTCCAACCTCGCTCTACCACCTTGACTTTCTCCCTCCAGATCAAATTGCCTTGAGAATCCTCTGCCGCAACCTGATCTTATGGAGCTATATCGAGCCGACAGAACGCTGGATTCGATCCCAGATTCCAGAGTCGGTCAAGCGCGGCCTATTTGGCAAAGCCGACTCGATGGATTTCACTCGAGTTGCGATTCCCAAGATTGCGCTGAGCAAAGATGACTCGCTTCTCTACTCATACTATGGCGTGATTGCTGGATGCTGCCTTTCCCTGGGGCTGCGGTTCGCTGGAACCGCTAATCAGATGGCCTGCTCCGTTCTCTTGAATTATCTGGATCTGTTCCTCGATTTGGGTCTCCCAGAAGGTATGGCTGGGGCGACTCGGGGGCGTTCGTGTGGTCCATATCCGATATTTAAATCCAGAGTCGATCATGAGGACACATGCTCTGATCGAATACTGAGGCGCATGGCACACACGAAGATGCCCGGTTGACTGTGGTTGTGCATGGTTATGCATGGCTGTGCATGGTTGTGCATGGCTGTGCATGGTTGTGCAGCGGTAACGGTTAACGCCTGACCACCGTTTCTAATCGTGGCCGTACTTCTATCCCATGCGGCATTGATTTGTGCCATTGTAGATGCCGGCTTTCGGCCTCAATTGCAACACTGTATTGCCTTGTGGTGCCAGGATTCCGTCGTGATCTCCGTTGGATTGGTGATGGCTGGAACAGGAAATCGAGCCCTCTTCCAAAGATTCACCCGACTTCACGAGCGTCTCGTGCCGCACGTTTCTTTCGGGAGTCATGTAGCCACTCATATGGCCATCGGATTTCTCTTCCTGGCTGGCGGCACGCGGACCCTTGGCACATCGAGCAAGTCTGTCGCGGCTCTGTTAGCCTCGGTGTTTCCTCGATTCCCTTCATCGGTCACCGATCAACGAGCTCACCTCCAAGCCCTTCGATACATGTGGGTTTTGGCCGTCGAGGATCGATGCCTTGTTACACGCGATGTAACGACCCGCGAGCTGTGCTGTGTGCCCGTGTCGATCAAGGTCTACGACCAAGTGCATGGAGGCAACGTCAATACTTTGAGCCCGGATCAGAGACTCGTGGAAATGCGGATGGTTACCCCTTGTCTACTGCCGCCGTATGAGTTCATCCATTCAATACGCATATGCGGGCCTCGGTACTGGTCGTGGATACTCGAGTTGGGAGCCAAGCGACCAGTCGATTCCCAGAAGCGGATTGAACTGGTGGTCAAGCGCAAGATTGGCCAACTTGGCTATTTGCAGGTCAGCGTTCCTGGCAACGGTCGGCTGTTTATATCCGATCGGCAATCGAGCCGTCTTCTTGATTCCAAAGATGTTATTTTTCAGTCCTGATGCTTAGCCCCGGAAATCAAACCTGCCTGACGGAGCAACCGGGCCGATGAGGGGCAAAAATAGACTAACCGCTTGGTTGTGCACAACAGGATCCTAAAGGTGTCGAGTCATTTATTGGTCAAATGTTTCCGCGACACCATAGCTTCTTGATCAAAGAGTCTCATCAAGACTTTATTCAATCCTTTTCGGCCGATCCACAGATCTTGGCCTTTGCCGAGTATTTCTGTGGGCTTGGAAGCAACGACCGAGCGTGGCAATCAAACTACTCCGCGCCAAATCCACAGAGGACAAGAAAGTTCCATGCCTCCGTCCTGTACGAGTGTCTGGCGCATGATCAACCGGAAATGATTCAATCATTCTTGGAGATATACGAAGGTGTCCGCAATCTTCGAAGGTCGACTGGTCTATCCAATCTCTGGAGTGCAATCATCGTTCTATCCTTCTACGAAAGGCAGTCGGTGAAACCGAAGATTCAAGGACTCGCTCGATCAAACTCAGCGGCCCCTGTTCGCGAGCACTTTGCAAGATCCCTTCGACATGAGCTCGAGTCCTACTTTGGCCATATTTTCGGAAGCAGCTCCGTGAGGAGTTTAGGGACATCGTTGCGGTCGAAAGCGCTCGGCGCCAGGGCATCGTGTAGTATCTCAACTCCTGTGCCGCCACCCCGTGATACCGATAACGCCAAGCCGCCGAGCGGAGCCACAGCCACTCAATCGCATATCGAGGCGCCGCCTCCATCGCGATGTGCGTTGGACGCTTTGGGCGATTCATTGCGGGCCATGATCCAGAGCGATTTTGAAGAAGATTTGCCGGTTGTTTCAGGTTACCCCAGCCCCAGGGATCTTGCCCTGTACTTGACGTTCGCCCGGTGGCCCCTCAAAGGCGATCTGGAAGCCATCTGGTCTCTTCTCAACCAATTGAAGAATGGTCGAGCTGGAAGCCACCTTGGCATATCAGGCCACGGTTCAAAGGAATTACCGAGAGGGCTTTCCACGCACCCCTTTGAAAGGATAGCTCTGGTGATCCTCTGCAAGCGATATCCGCAAACACCGACATCCACTCTGGGCCAGCTGGTGTCATTGTTTGTTGAAAGCGAGCCCGGGGACGACCAAGATACGCTCTGCCAGTGACTCCAGTCCCGGACCAGGAATACACGCATCTGTCCGCCACTCGCCATGGCCATCCATAGATAACTGTATTGGATTCTCCTTTACTGGGTCCCGGGCGCTGTGGTTTTGTGGAGGAAGAGGAAGTTACACTGTATTCAGGGGGAAATGAGGCATCACGGTTTCATTACGAGTGCAATACACACACAGTAACCATCCACCCCTTGGAAACCACGGCTATGCCTCCACTCTCCGCCATATGAGGCTCCTTCGCTCATTCAAGTGGCCCCACACCGCCAGAGCAAGTCCAATCAAGACGACCATAACAAGCGGCGTCAATGAGCTATGGATGAGCCATTCCTGAGTGGTGCAAGAGTGGCTGACCCAATATACATGTGCTCCCCTTCAGAGACATGCCAAGGTACTCTGCGAGTGATTGTGGTGATGCGCTCTCAAATTTATTCTTGAGGTGAACCAAGCGCACATAAAAACAGAACGAATGCGCACCGACCTTGCTGGAGAAGAGCTGGGAGTTCTCCTCGTGGTATTTGGCAGATACAGTGGTGCTATGGACACGTGGAGTCTAGATCGGCATATTGCTGTTGGACAAGTCACCGAGGCTCTCAGTTCTACCAAAAGTTGTGGGTTGTGGCGACAGCTCATCGGAATCCAATTGTGCGTCTGAATCAGCTTGGGCCGAAATCGCGCCTTCGAAGAGATACCGGTTGGGAGGGATGAAGGTAAACGGAGCGGCTACGACGGGTGCCGCTTCGTTGACCGCTGACACCGAGTCGCCCTTTAGAGACTGTGGCGCGGCTGGAAGGCTCCACGAGAGCCTCCGGCAGAGCTCTTGTACAATGACGTCACAGTATCCAAGTAGTTGGATGTCAAATCCGGCCATATGCGGGAGCGCCTCCAAGTTGATCAAAATTTGCGGGACATCCCGGGGGATGTGGTCTAGTGGCGCATTTGAAGGAGATATAGGTCAAAACCCAGGACTACTGCTGTTCATCCAAGAACCTTCCGCTGGATGGAGGCAGCCAGTATTCGCCATCGGTAGATTAGTGCTCTACCTTTCACGTTGGCCACTGGTGAAACTTTGAGCGAGGATCCCATGACAATAAGTAGATCAATCTTGTCGCGGTCCTCGGCAAAGGCAGCATCGAATGATTGCGGGAGCTTTTCACCAAAAAACACAATATCAGGTTTCATGATGCCGTCGGCCTCCTCAGGGCACTTGGGACACAAGGGTACCGTCTTGGGCAGTGGAGGAGAGGGGCCATATCATTAGAATTCGTGACCGCTCGGATATTTACTCAAAGCACCAGTAGTTCTTTCGCAGCTCCCGTACCTTGGCCAAAATATCATCCTTGATAGCCTTTCCGTCAACTTGATGCTTGCATACGATACATGACGCTGTGGCAAACGAACCTAGAGTGACGATGTCGAAGACATATTTAGATCGTGCCATGCAGAGCTCTTTGTGTGGGTGCGTGGAGACTGAGGAAGTTGTCCCTTCCTTGGCTTTAGAGAAGCATTTTCGGGACAATCAACTGGAGCGACGCCTTGCCACCTGAGCAAACAGATATCCAGGAGCCCTCATCATACCGTGACACTGAACCACATTTCCAATTTGCGCAACTTGCTCGAGCGTGTCGATGTTTTGCGTGTAATTTCTCAACAGCTTTCCTTTTTCCTCAAGTAGCTTCACAAACATGTGGCTTGGCGAGGGTCTGAAGTTGCTGGGAAAGATTTCCTAGAGATGATGGCGACAGAACCGGTCTGTTATGATCGATTGCTGAGCCGGTGCATTCTTCTTGCCGCATCTGCTCGTGTCCCTATGCCGGGATCTCATGAGAGAGGATGGGCATGCGGTGGAATGCCTTGAATGGCGATACCTTTGCAAATGAATAGAAAATTTCAGGCCGATACTTGAAATATTCAAGATCAAACATTTGTTGGGGATCCTCAAGCTCGAATTCGTCCAGTCGTGAGTAGATACCGTTCTTTGATCGAAAATCCGGGATGCCACATGAAACCGAAACGCCTGCTCCAGTCAAAACGACAATGTTGTGTGATTCTTTGATGAGCCGCACGGCATCGTCGATGGTATTGATGTGCGCAAGCTTGGGTCGTCGTGAGAGCCCAAGAAGAATATGCAGAATATCTGGGCGGAATCAGAAGGGGCCCAAGGTACTTCGTTAGTGAAGCTTGTCGCCAATCGATCGGAGAGCAGAGCCTCATCTCCCCAAGACCGGCTGAATCTGCCGGGACACTCAAGCGCCCCGGATAGGCTGAATCAAAGGGCCCATGCATTTTGCGGAGGTGGCGGCTGACTTGTCTTGACTTCTAGCGGCACTTGGAACCGCAATGGCTCAACAACGAAAGCATGATCCTGCGTCTGGCTGGGCCAAGATCAACTCACCCAAGCTCTGTCCTCGCTGTTTCAGAGCCAGTGCCAGAGACTCGAGGTCATCCGAGTCGTAGGCATCCGAATCATAGCCATCCAGTAGCGGGTCCTCGCCAGAATTCAGGTCATCAAGATCTCCATTTGAAGAGACAGATCCCAGTCGACTGTCGTCGTCGTCGTCGTCCCCCATGGAACCACTGCCGCTGTTGATTTCTTGAGCCGCTATGTCTTCATCTTCGATAGCGCCATTGGCAGGTAACCCAGCGGGCTTTTGAGCGCTGCATTCGTCACCGGCAAGGCTCGACCGCTTTCGCCTCTTGAAATCTTCCTTCGACGGTGGTTTGGAATCAGGCGAGATAGCAGTGTGCCAAGCACTGCCATCCTGTGATCGGAGTCGCTTCATCGATGGACGAAACGTGTGGTGTGTTTCGGCCTGGAGAATGAGATTGGCCGATGAGGGCAGGGGAAGAGGGAATGAGATCTACGATGGACCGATGATAGGCCAGGATCGCAGCCGCCTCCGGGCACTCCCTTGGCCGGCGGAATCGCCCGGATTTGAGGAGTCGGTGCAATCAGGAGGCAGTATACCTGAGGCAGGCGTGGGTCGGATTCAAGAGGCTTATCCATGGGCTTCTCTGGAGTGCGCTTCTGGGCAAGCAAGATGCTGTCTCAAGCCAAGGTCCTCCCTCACAGGGCCGGCCAGATTCGGCGAGCCGGCGCTTTGCTCGGTTCCCGCCCAGGCCCGACAACGAACACCCCCCGTGAGCGTGGCGAATGCCGACTTGCGCCAGCGATGCTTGATGCGCCCGGGTCTCCACGGCCGAGTGCGTTTTCTTGAACGTTCAGCTCGACGGTGGGGTGGTGCGCAAAAAATATATAACTTCAGTCACAGGAGCGGACTCGAGGGTCCGGCTGGTGATTTTATATCTACTTTCTAATGTGAAAGAAGTATACATACAGCACGACAACCAACACAAAGAGGACCATATAGAGAAACCACCGCCCGGTCTGTGTCTTGGCCATTTGCTGCAAGCGCTTCATCGACTGGCCAAGGAGGTCGCCTGTCGCTCCGAATTGCGTTTCCTAGCCAAGGGTATCGATCGGTCGACCATCAGCCGGGGAAAGCGCACCACTCAAAGCAACATATCGAATGGACCAACTTGGGGCGATGCTTTCTATCATTTGGATCCAACTCGGCCGAAAGACTTACCATTCCACGCAGCATTTCCTGTTGGTTGCGGACCTCGTCTCCGAGGCTCAAAGTAATCTGAGGGTATGTGTGGGAGTGGCCGGTTGGATGACTGAGCCGCTCCATTCGCACTCAACTTTGGTCCAGTTCTCGGTCCTGGTTGCCTCTCCCTGGTGGTTTCCGGGCGATATGCCTGAAGATGTCCATGATACTCCTCAACAGCCCTTTGCGAGCAAGATCTCTTGGCTCACCTCTCGAAGTTGACTGGTCTTTTGCGAGAGCAGATCGACCTGCTCGTCGTTCTGGTGCTCCATGCTATAGCCAAAGTCATCATTATATCGACTTCCCGTTGGCCTAGAGAGCGCAGTTTGAGTAAATCAGTTCAGAGGATGCACTTTAGGAGGCAAAGCTGGCGCTCATAGGGCTTTAGGATTGACAATCGCTGCTGACGTGACTGGATCGTGGCTGGAATCCCAACATCGATCGGGTGGTGCAAGGATCGAATCTGGCGGCATGGGCTGATGGAAACCGACCTTGAGACAGGACGGTTGTAGCGATTCATGATTTGCTGGGCCTTGGGCGGTTTGACCGGAGCTGCAGCGGCGCACGCTGTTGGGACAGACAGCGGATTGGGAAAGGGGATGAGGTGGAGGTTTCGGGCGCGGCTTTTGTTCTTGCTGGCACAACGGCTGCCACGGCCTCCTTGACCCTCTGGGACATTGAGCCTCGAGAGAACATGGTGTTTCGCACAGGAGCGACCAGGGCTCTTTTCGGCTGTGGCAAGCTTCCAGGACCCAAAGCACATACATGTCCATCTAGTGTGACCATGAACACCATCAGCCATCGTTCGAGGGGCTCACTTTATTCAGGGAAACGGGACAACGCACATGGTTCCATGAACATGTAGTATGTACCGGCTTGTGCCCAACAAAGCCACATGCAATTCAACAAATCACCTCCGAGTGGAGGCATTGGGTCGCTCTCCGGTCTCTATTCGACCTGCACTGCTCAAAGTACCGAGCAAACCGCTACCTCCGAGGGCTGGATGCATAGCCCTTGCCTTGACACCATGACGCATTGCCAATGGCGATGACCACATCGTTCTCCCTCAAGCGTGCTTCAGGACGGCCTTGCACATCCTGTCGACGGCCGCTTGGTGCTCGACGCAGTCCAGGACAGCCCCTGTCATGTGGATGCTGGCATTGTCCATCACAATCAGACAGTTGTCTGGGAGAGTCCTGCTCGGTGGATGGCAGTGTGGCAGAGGGAGAGGGACACTTTCCTCTGGGAGATGGTCCCGAGCTTGCATCGCAACACAGGACCAGTCTGGAACGGGTCGTGTTCAATCAGGGTGCGAATGACTGGACATGCCTGCTCAAGGAAAGTGGATCTTCGAACCGGGGCACGGGGTGGGTCATCAGGTTTGTGTCCTCGGCGCCGGCGGTGAATGGTGTCCTTCGACACACTGACAAATAGTCATGGCCAGCGCGCAATGGTCTCCGGTGACAAAAATTGATCCATGCTCAAAATCCTGGATTGACTGTATTCGGGATGGCGCTTTCCACGACATATATCCGCAGCCATGGGTGGTGGGCACTGTTGTGATCACGAAGCAAATGAATACCCGTGGTTGGGTCCACCGAAGAGCCGCCACAATACACCCCGAGGTCCTAGACCCCAGGATCTTTGGAAGGAACTCATCGAGCGCGTGAGCGTTGATCAAAATATGAACAGATTACATTTCGTCGGATACAAGACTTCCACACTTCTGAGGAGCCGCGCTTCTCGGTTCGAGACATGTTTTCAGGCCTCGGATGCTGATCCACGCAGCCGGAGCGGGAGAAATCTAGTATGGAACTTGTTCGAACAAGAATGACACACTCTCGCCGTTATGAATACGACGAATGGCTTCGGCGAAAATGGCAGCCACATCAAACTCTCTGATCTTGGAAGATTGTTCCATGTGCGTCGCCTGTGGGACAGTGTTGCTGACAATGACCTCGTCGATCGGTGATTCTTGGATGCGGCTGATGGCATTACCGGACATGATACCATGGGTAATCACAGCGTATATCTTCGTTGCTCCTTTTTCTACCAAGAGGGCCGCGGCTTTCGTCATGGTATAAGAGGTGTCGGCAATGTCGTCAATGAGGATGCAAACTTTGTCCTTGACATCACCGACAAGCATCATATCGGTAGCCGAGCTGGCAGCATGGCGTCGCTCCTTGTGGATCAGGGCGAAATCCATGCCGAGTTTGTCCGCTACAATTGTGGCTCTATAGGCAAGTATGGTCGGGATGAGAGTCTGTCAGGCGGGCCGCTGCATACTTCCAAACTCAGGTTGGGTCTATATAGGACGCTGGCGGATTCGGTGCGTCGGTATTTTGATCAGGTCGACACGGCTGAATCCGTGGACATACTTTACCGTTTGGCGCCGCCTGCATCAGGCGATACAATTACAGCCGATCGGTAGTCGGGGATATGCTCTTTGATGTACTTGACAACCAGAGGCTGGCTGACAAGGTTATCCACAGGGATATCGAAGAAGCCTTGGAATTGAGGATCGTGCAGGTCCATGGTGATGATATGATCGGCGCCTGGATGTTGATGCACACATCAAAGTTGCGATGATCAGCGGGCTGTTTTGAGTACGTTCGAGGAGGGGCGGCGCCAAAGCCGCGGGGGCTTGGCATTGAAGAGCTTCACGCAGCATAATAGACGCTTGGTCGGTAGGGCTGGCTTGGGGATACGACAAGAAGAGAGCCGGCAAGCAGCGGCTTTCGACAGAGTACAGAGGCGTTTCCAGATCGAGCCGCAAAAGCTTACCGGCAGCGACAAGCAGATTTGCAATCAACGTTCCAGACCGAACAGTCCAGTGTTTGTATCCACCGTTTGTCGACGAGCTACCCCAGTCAAAGGCTGCGGGATTCAATGAATAGTCGAGGCTTTGGACAGACGATGATCTCGTTTGAAAGAGCTGGGGACTCGAATATGAGAGATCGTGGTCGACGACGATTTCATCCTTGTGGACCGTGCCGACAATTTCCGAAAGTGGAGCATGGCCGCCCGTCATGCTTGAAAGCCGCTCGGCATCTCCAGGGGACACACGCGCACTGATGCCACCGCTCCGCTTATAAGGCGTTTCGGGCTGACGGGCATAGGGGAAGCACGGAATAACCGCGGTGACTTTTCTAGAGAACCAGAAACCCAATGAATATAAAGGGCACCACTTGTGTGAGCCGCGATCGGAGCCAGGAGGCCCAAGCAGTGGCCATAAACCTCCAGCAGTTCGGGAAGAGCCGCGGCCGCAGGGTTTGCTCAAACGGCGCGTTGGCCACGATGCGATATCGGCATAATACTGCCAAGACAGAGGCGCGTCCGCGGCGATGGAATAACGAGTGGAGGGGCGCCAGACTTACCGTGCTGAAGCGGTTCGGCACGCAGCGATCATAATGAGGAGCTCCATGAAGTTATCATTGACGTGCCCGCATCCAGACTGGATAATATAGACATCGGTATCGCGCACAGATTCGGAGATTTCAACGTTGGTCTCTTGATTCGAAAACTTTGAGAGCTTACACCTCGACACGGGTATGCCTAGCTTCTGACAGATCTTTTCTGCAAGGGCCGGGTGCGAGGTGCCTGAGAAGATGCTGATGTCGCGCATGTGTGCAGTCGCCAAGGATCGTTGCGGAAGTCGGCAGGGTGCTGAAGCGTGGCGCTGACGGGTAGTCGCTGCGATGAGAGCCCGAGGACAGACGGCAGAGCTTGCTTGCGAATACTGCAGGCCGTGGCCGAGAGGGCTGGTGGAGATGAATCCAGGGTGCTTGAAGGACAGCCAAGCGGTTTTTTCTTGCAGGATGCCGGGCGGGGTTCAGGAAGACCGCTCCAAAAGGGGCCATATTAAGAGCGTGCCACGAGCCATCAGGCGGAGCTCCTTGGTGATCGCAAGGAGCGTCTGGATCTGCGGCCTCACGCTGATCAGCAGCATCCACGGCCGAAAGTGCTCTGACCAGAATCGCCGGATCCAGGACGGGAACGGCCAGTCCGATCCCCACAGCACCACCATACACCGCGAGCGGCTCTGCCCAGATCGATCATCCCGACACACATGGCCACATCGGCATTGGAGGGGTCTGCGCTGGCTACCGGCAGACCCGAGGAGGACATTGAGCCGCAGGCCAACATGGTGAGTCGGCGAATAGCTTATCGGGCGAGTTCTGATGGCTCGGATGCTGCGCCCAGACAACTCGCAGCCGGCGCCTGGCAGTCCCTGTATACGCGGACAGGAGCATTCCTGCTATGCATTGGGGGCCAGGATCGACGCCATATCGAGAGCAAACATGCATTCGCTAATGAGATCGAGCTTTGCTGCCTTCCCATCATTCTCATCGACATCGGCATCAGGTCGTCCTTCACCTCGCCGAGTTTTGCTCTCGACTTGTCGAGATCGCGCGAGAGCTTCCCAGCCAGCCGCCCGCCCAACTGGAAAGCTTCGTGAACGAGATGCTGCTGGTATGGGTGTATGAAGCAAGGGCCTCACATCCGGTGACCTGTCGATGTACCGACGGTCTTATCAGTATTGCGCCAATCGTATACTTCGTATTGCTTCAAGCTCATGATTCTGAATCCAATTGACATAGAAAGGGCTCGAGGATCCTGATAAGTTACTGACGCAATTCTCACGGTATGGACGGTGACGCTCAGCCCATGTGCTCAGCAAGCGAGTTCAACTACATTATTGCACAGGCTCTTCTCCATCGGGCGATAGCTCTCGGCACTGAAGGCCACACAACACTCTCGCGCGTCTCCGAAATGTTGGAGGAGCATGTTCACATGATATATAGCAACAGGTGAGACCCGCAACGCTGAGACGAGCCCACATTGGTTCCGGACAGTGCGGGCCATGAGTCTGTCAAATGGAGCTGATTATGGTAATTTTTTTTTTAATTGGATGGTCCAAGGTCGAAAGTCGTCCGAGAAACAGCGAATTGCATCGGCCCTCTTTCCAGAGAGGTAGGACTGTTTATATCGAATGTGGAGACGTCAGGTCGGTTGTCACAGGGAGATATGCAGAAGGTACGTTCGTGATGGGCTTCGAATCATCCAACTAGTTCATTTCTCGAGTGCCATTCGAGTGCCGTTCGAGTGCTTCGGAGGAGTAGTCCGAAACGGGATGCGCGAGTTGGGTGAGCATTGAGCGGGAAACCGGACTCGTACACTTTTGGGGTCGATGTTGGCTCGATATTCGGGCCCATAGTAACACGGATTGCCAGTTTTCTGAGCTCTATGTCAGCTCATCGGCTTCCCCGAGCTTGGATCTGGTACGGCGGGCAGAATTTATGGGTAAGTATAAAAGCCGACTCTTTGGTGGTGAGATCTCAAGGGGCCAAGTCAACCCCGACAGGTGTACTGGCACCGTTCGTAGGCTTTTGGGGAGATGTGAAGCTTCTGACACCGAGAGCGAATCTATTGATAGATGCGCTGGTTATACATCTTTTCGGAGAAATGCGGATATCCGATGTTCCCAACGCCAGCGAAAAAGCTTTCATATTGGCATTTATCTCGAGTGCCATTCTACTCCCAGACGGATCGGTGAGTGCGCGACGGCATTGTTGATCCGACCAAAGACGTGGC